GGATATTGTAGGGATTAAAAGAGGAGGGAGGAAGAACCGTACATGCCATTTGCAGACCCTACAAGTTTCCCTATTTTTCAGGGACAGTCCCAGATTTACAGAAGCTGCCCCGGTTTCTGATCTGATCCCAGAATGCCCCACTTTTCCTTAGGATGTCCCTACTGGAGAAATGTTGGGTGATATGGGGTTATCCGACCCCTGAACCATCTGAAGCCAGCCCTGTATAGGGAAGTTTTAAAAAATGTTTAATGTTTAATTATTTTTTTAGATATGTTGGAAACAGCTCTGAGTCGCTGGGGCAACGCAGTCAGAGAGGTGGGGTATAAATAGTAAAATTATTATGTAATAGGACATGGGTAGGCAAACTAAGGCCCGGGGGCTGGATCTGGCCCAATCGCCTTCTAAATCCGGCCCGCGGACGGTCCAGGAATCAGTGTGTTTTTACATGAGTAAAATGTGTCCTTTTATTTAAAATGCATCTCTGGGTTATTTGAGGGGCATAGGAATTTGTTCAATCCCCTCCCCCCGCGAAATATAGTCCGGCCCCCCACAAGGTCTGAGGGACAGTGAACCGGCCCCCTGCTGAAAAAGTTTGTTGTAATAGGACATCCCTGTTTTCATCAGAAAAATGTTGGAGTATGATCTTGGCGCATTTGTACCCTCTCTCCAGCCAAAAAAAGCTCATCAGAATGGCAATACATACAACCAGAACAAGATTGCTGAGTTTTGGAATATGGTGTTTGCTGAGATCTTGCTGATAACTGAACAAACAATTACTCCATCCTTTTATCTGGCACTTTTGAACCTGTATGTGGGAAGAAGAATGGGATTTGAAAAGTAAATAACATTTCTCCCCTCTTAGCAGCAGCCCAGGGCTGCATTGCCAATCACTGGAAGACTCTCAATGACCTGGATTGCTGTCATTCAAGGCAATTTGCCCTTCTGGAAAAGATACCTATATGCGTGCGCAACTGTCTGGCTCATTGAAGACTATAAAGAAACTTTATTCCCAGTAATGATAGAGCTCACAGGCAGAGAGCACTTTTATTTTTATACGTATTTATTGTTTGCAATGGGATTTTATACGTATTTATTGTTTGCCTTGTGATTCTTACCATTTTTTAAATTCTTTGTTTTCTTTTTGTTATGTTTGCATTTTTCTTTCTATTCTTTTTGTAACATATCAAATTATTATTTTTTTAACAACACAAAAGGGAAAAGGGGCAGGGAGGGAAGAGGAAAAATCAATTGCAAAACTCAGATACTGGTTTCTAAACATAAATATGATTGTTTCCCCGCCCCATGATTTTTAGCTGCTCTTATCCTACCGGTAATCCGCCTTGAGTCCCTGTCAATTTCATTGTTCTGTATGGGACAATGACAATACTGTAAAGATATCGTATCGTATCGTCAGGGGGAAAAGGCGGGTAAATTTTAAATAGTATTCCAAATACATGGGCAGAGCTGCCCCCCAAGTAAAACAATAGAAATACTAAACTGACCAAACACGTCGGTTCTCCCCCCCAACAAAAATCCTGTCTACGCCCATGTTTAAATGTATTAAATTAATATATCAAGCCGAATAAAATATGAAATGTGTACGTGCCGCCGGCGCGCTTTCTCACTCGGTTTCCTCTCCGTGAGAAGAAGCGGGCGCCTGACCGGGTACAAACACATCTTGAATAGCGTTTAAAGGCATTAAATCAATAAATATCAATTTATAAAGATCAATAATATTTAATGAATAAATATGAAATGTGTCAAAGTGGGTTCCGCCGCGCTGAGGGAAGAGCGCAACTCTCGGCCTTGCCTTCTTTCCCTCCGTGAGGAGAAGCGGGCGCCTGGCGGGGCACAAACACATCTTGAATAAAGGCATTAAATCAATATCCTATCGATAAATATCCATTTATAAATATAAATAATGTTTAATGAATAAATATAAAGTGTGTCAAAGTGGGTTCCGCCGCGCTGAGGGAAGAGCGCAACTCTCGGCCTTGCCTTCTTTCCCTCCGTGAGGTAAACGGGGCGGCGCTGTGAGGCGCGCGGCCTCCTTCGCTTTCCCCTCGGCCTCCTTCCTCGCTCGGCGGCGGCGGAGGCGGAGGAAACTCCTCCCTCGTTGCGCCGCTTCCTTCCCTCCGGCTTCTCCCGGCCTCCGCCTCTCTCTCGCCCGGGCCATTTCCACAGATGAGGACGAGTCCCCTGGCCGAGAAGAAGGCGGCGGCGGCGGCGGCGGCGGCAACGGCGACCGGGCTGAGGTAACCGGGCTGAGGTAAGCGCCGGCTTCCCGGGCCGGCTTGGCTCTCTCCGCCTGCCCGCCCTAGCTTGCCTCGCAGTTTTGCGGCCATGGCTTCCGCCTCGCAGTCCCCACAGCCGAGGAACGCCGCCCTCTTCCCCGGCCGGGGAGACCCGGCTCAGGCGGGCGGGCGGGCGGGCGGGTGGAAGCCCTCGCCTGACAAGGCCTCGTTCTTCGGGGTCCAGGCCCGAAAGTCGCTCGCGGGCTTCGCTTCTCCTCGGGAGGTTTCGATTCCGCCGCGCCTCCTCCTTCGCCGACCTGTTTTGCGCCGGCTTTCAGGATCGCTCTGCGCCCTTTTTGGTGCGCGTGGAGGCGGAGGAGGCCCAGCAAGGCCTCCTCGCCGTGTTACTTTCACGTGGAAGGAACAATCTGGGGTCTGTTGACGAGGGAATGTGGCTTTAAACCTTTTTAATATATATATATTGGGCTTTTGGCCTTTTCTCACATTTGCTTTCCCTCTCCGTAGATCAGTGATGGCGCCACCTGTTTTGGGACTACAACTCCCATCATCCCTGACCACTGGTCCTGTTAGCAAGGGATGATGGGAGTTGTAGTCCCAAAACAGCTGGAGGGCCGAGTTTGCCTATGCCTGGTCCAGATCATACCGGGTCCTCTATGGCAGGCACCCCCAAACTTCGCCCTCCAGCTGTTTTGGGACTACAACTCCCATCATCCCTAACCACTGGTCCTGTTAGCAAGGGATGATGGGAGTTGTAGTCCCAAAACAGCTGGCGGGCCAAGTTGGGCCAGCACTGCTGTAGATGCATTGGGTGGGTGTGGTGAGTCACGTTTTGTTCTCCTCTTTGCACAAACCAAACTGGATGACTAGCCGAGCAACTGCGGGGGAAAAGGTTTGTAGGGTGAGTCGTGAGAAACTCCTTTTTAAAAATACCCCAACCTGGTCCAGCTCATAGTTATCAAGGCAGTTTTATCTGTTTCCGCCCTGTTCCCATCCTAGGTAAAGGTAAAGGTACCCCTGCCCGGGCCAGTCTTGCCAGACTCTAGGGTTGTGCGCTCACTCTAGAGGCCGGGAGCCAGCGCTGTCCGCAGACACTTCCAGGTCACATGGCCAGTGTGACATCGCTGCTCTGGCGAGCCAGAGCCGCACACGGAAACGCCGTTTACCTTCCCGCTAGTAAGCGGTCCCTATTTATCTACTTGCACTTTAAGGGTGCTTTTGAACTGCTAGGTGGGCAGGAGCTGGGACCGAAAGACGGGAGCTCACCCCGCCGCGGGGATTCGAACCGCCGACCATACGATCGGCAAGTCCTAGGCACTGTGGTTTTACCCACAGCGCCACCTGCATCCCATCCTAGGGGTTGGTAAAAAATATAGGGCTTAAAAACAACACAAATTGCATTGCATGGGGTTGGACTAAATCATAATAATTATTATAATAATTATAATTATTTATTATTTATACCCCGCCCATCTGGCTGGGTTTCTCCAGCCACTCTGGACGGCTTCCAACAGAATATTAAAATAAATAACCTATTAAACATTAAAAGCTTCCCTAAACAGGGCTGCCTTCAGATGTCCTCTAAAAGTCTGGTAGTTGTTGTTCTCTTTGACATCTGGTGGGAGGGAGTTCCACAGGGCGGGTGCCACTACGGAGAAGGCCCTCTGCCTGGTTCCCTGTAACTTGGCTTCTCCCAGCAAGAGAACCGCCAGAAGGCCCTCAGCACTGGTCCTCACTGGGTCCCTTTCAGCTCCACAGTTCTATGATTCTATGAAACACATGGGTACATTACTCCATTTTTATTCTTTTTAAGTTTTATATGAACTTACAAAGTTATGCAAATAATTAAAAGCTGGTGGATCCTGCTCAGCCACCCAGCGAAAAATCCTTTGTTGCTTGCGTGGTGGTTCATTTGCTGCTAACTGGATAAGGCCTGTCGTAACAGAGTACTTGCTGTTTTATTTTATTGTTAACAGTCTGGCCTGTACCCGTGTCCTTAGGGCTAGCTTGCAGCAAGGAATGAAATTTTTTGGAAAATTTGAAATTAAATAACAATAAAAGAGCACCGAAACAAAATTGCATGGAGTAAAAATAAAGCTATTATTTATTTCAGTACAGCAAACGGATGGAACTGGCAGAAGCTGATAGTTTTAGCCAATTGCATGGACGTATCCAGGAATTTTGTTAGGGGGCAGGCCTTTTGTTGGGGGGACACACAAACCTCAGTTTGCTATGTATTTTTATTGACTGATTGGGGGGCTGTTGCCCCCCCCCCGGCTACACCCATGTACCTATGCACATTATTGACCATTCAACTGGGAAATACTCAAGCTTGCCCTCTTGATGAAACCTTGGGGAAGAGAGTTCCGTCTAGATATAGACACATTTGGTACTGCAGATATCAGGACACATTTTCTGCTGATTCCCTGAGATGGTAGTGAATATGACGCTTTGAAGAGTGTAATTGAGTACAAGAGAGGTCTGCCTCTTAAACTTGTGTACAGTCACACCTTGGGTTACAGACGCTTCAGGTTGCGCTTTTTTGGGTTACGGACCCGCCGAAACCCGAAAGTACCGGAATGAGTTGCTTCCGGGTTTCGGTGGTCGCGCATGTGCAGAAGCGCTAAATCGCACGGATCACGTTCGCAACCCGAGCGTCCACTGTAGTGCCAAAGCCACTTTCCAAAGGGTTCAAAGTCAGTCCCATGGTTTCTAGAAAACAATTTAAATCCAGCATACACACTAGACCTCTTGTAAAACATGTGTTTGAAACTGATGCCCCATGAAGTTTCTGTGCAGTTACCAAGGGTGGCATCGTGTAGTGTTTGTCCAATAGTAGTAGTAGTAATATGATGATGAGGAGGAGGAGGAGGAGGAGGATAATAATTAATAATATATTATTTATACCCCGCCCATCTGGCTGGGTTTCCCCAGCCACTCTGGGCGGCTTCCAACAGATTAAAAACGGAATAAAACATCAAACATTAAAAACTTCCCTAAACAGGGCTGCCTTCAGATGTCTTCTAAAAGTCAGGTAGTTGTTTATTTTCTTGACATCTGATGGGAGGGCATTCCACAGGGCAAGCGCCACCACCGAGAAGGCCCTCTGCCTGGTTCCCTCCAACCTCACTTCTCACAGGAAGGGAACCTCCAGAAGGCCCATGGAGCTGGACCTCAGTGTCCGGGCAGAACGATGGGGGTGGAGACGCTCTTTCAGGTATACGGGACCGAGGCTGGTTAGTATACGGGACCGAGGCCAGCACCAACACTTTGAATTGTGCTCGGAAACGTACTGGGAACCTAACTCTGAGTGCAGCTTAGTAAGCCTTCACTGGGTTCCAGAGGTTATAGCAGGGATGTGCAGTTTAAGGCTAGCAGGCCAGATGTGGCCCTTCTGGCCTCTCCATCTGGCCCTTGGGACTCTTCCCCAGGCCACACGCACACCAGCCCTGTTCCCCCACCATCCTCAGTGCTTTGCCTGGCTGGGCTCTGCCTTGGGACTGTGATAGGGCTCTTGTATGTCTGGGCAGAGGCTGGAGAGGCATGTGCCTGAGTGCAGAAGCCCCTGGCCTTTGTGTGGCTAGAATGTTGCCTGCTGTGTGAAAGTTCGCATCCTGGCACTTCCCTGTGGCCTTGGCCACAGCTGGTGTATAGCCCTTGGATGGGTCGAAAAGGGTTCTGAACCCTTTTCAGGCAGAAGTACTGCTGGTAGGCTCCTTGTCAGTGGCAGGCTACTGAAATTCCCAGAATGGGGAGGGGGAGGCACTGAGATGTTCCAGGATCCACTGGATCTCAAGCCAACTCCACTCCTGTGCAGTCCTCCCAACCATTAGGCCGGCTAATGTGACTCCAGTGCTCAGCCAGGATTTGGATTGCTCTGCTAAGGTTTTAAAAGACCTAGATCACTACTAAATATTGTTGTACCGTTGTACATACTTAAGCCATCAGTGATTTTAATATCAAACTCTGCATTGTTTTGAGGTTAAAGAAAGAGCTTTTAGACACCTTTTGTGTGTGGCACACAATCTGTTATGGTTTCTTGTTGAAGAACAGCGTGCTGGTATACTTCCATCGCATAAAATTGTAAAATGAAAGGATTTTTTTTAATGCAGAAAACACGTATCTGGTGTTTGCTTTTTGGCTCAAGTGACAGAATAAATATAGGTTATTAAATTTGTAAGTATTAGTGAGGCAAGGATAGTAATAGACATCTTGGAAGGGACATGAAGTAACTTTATAAAGGCAAATAGGAATGCAAATTGAGTTCAAGGATGCTGACATTCTCCCTGCAACTCTTTATGAAGTGGTGTGCTCCTTGTAGAGAGAAACATGTTGTGGCTTGGCTGGTTTGTAGGTCTCAATGGGGAACTCTTAATTTGTAATCTTGGGTCTTACAATAAGGATTTTATGAAGGTATATTTCCTTCTTGAGAAACTTCTTCACAGAAGTTCACAAACCTTACAAATGTATTGAAAAGTATTTGTCAATCTGTGGGAGCTGATGTCCTATGCACTGTAGACGAGGAAAATGTGAAGAGTAGGAAAAAGTTCATATTGTATTTATGTGTAGGCATAAGGAGAGAAACATGTTGTGTACCTCCTTTACTGTAGGAGATTCTTGTAATGGATGTCATGTGGACACTCTGTTTAATAACTGTATTTTAGAAAGCAATAGTTTGATTGTCTTCTAAAAATTAGTAACTGGATGGCTTTGAAGTGAACCAAATCAATCAGCTGGTAAAGGCAGCAGTGTCTTTAATTTTAACCAATATAAGAACTTTTGATAGTTACTGGTATAAATAAAGGGTTGTGGACCTTTTTCATCTTGTGAGCAACCTTTTGGGAGCCGCATGCAGGGCCAGAGACGAAAGTAGGCAGAGAAACAGATACGACTCTTTGTACAGGAGGCTATATCCCTGTTCCCAGCCATACATCAACATTTCTCAATCCTCTGCCCAAGCAAGCAAGAGGCATTCTCTCAGTTCAAGAACACATTTCAGAGGAAAAAGCATTCAATGGGTGAAGGGGTGTGGCCTCAGAAAAGGCCTGGGGGCCTTACAGTTGGGCCATATTAAGGTAAAGGGACCCCTGACCATTAGGTCCAGTCGTGGCCGACTCTGGGTTTGCGGCGCTCATCTCGCTTTATTGGCCGAGGGAGCCGGCGTACAGCTTCCGGGTCATGTGGCCATCATGACTAAGCCGCTTCTGGTGAACCAGAGCAGCACACGGAAACGCCGTTTACCTTCCCGCCGGAGCAGTACCTATTTATCTACTTTCACTTTTGACGTACTTTCAAACTGCTAGGTTGGCAGGAGCAAGGACCGAGCAACGGGAGCTCACCCCATCGCGGGGATTCAAACTGCCGACCTTCTGATTGGCAAGTCCTAGGCTCTGTGGTTTAACACACAGCGCCACCCGCATTCCACATTGGGCTATATTACCCTGGTATAAATGCTCTTTAGAAGAGGGGATTCATTCCCATTCTTTCTTGTAATAGACCTATAACGCTTAAAGTGGTTATTCAAGTCAGGCATGGGAATTCTGTGACTTACAGATCTCCTTAAGCCCACCAGCTTCTCCATTTTGCCCAGCAGGCCATTTCGGCCAGGCCACGTTCACTTGCTGTGCAGGTACAGGTGGAGCTTGGACGAAAGGCGCTTGAACAGTGCTTCCCAAGAACCCAGCAATTGGCACTTCAGAAGCACTTTGCAAGCGCTAAGTACAGGGCTCGCAAAAGCAATCAGCTGATTGTTAGGTGGTTTGGAAGCTTCCAGTTCTTAAAGGAGCTTTTAAAACGGAACATTTTTTCCTTTCCAAAGGAAGCAGTTTGTAGTCAAAAGTGCTTCCCCCAGTTCCTTCAATGCACGCTGCTTTCTCAGCAGAGGGAAAGAGTATTTCCCCTCAGCAGAGGCTTCAAAAAGTCTCCCTCTGACTGATGATCAGCACCCAGTAGGCAAAGTTGGGCCATGGTGAAGATAAAGTTCTGGCCCGTTGACCAGATCTGGTTCCCCATCCCAGGTCAAAGTGGGCAGAATTATTTGGAGGACATCCGTTTGGTACTCAGGATATCAGATAACTAATGAATGAAATGCTCTATCCATTTGTTCCTTTTTAATTAATGTTGGTAACAATGAGGATATCTGGAATAGGATATCATTTAATTTTCTTGATTCCTTTTCTTTCAGATTTGAACTCTGCCTTGCGATTTCTTTATAAATCATATTGTGTATGCAGCTTTCATGAATTAACCTGATAAGAGATGTTTGCTTACTGGCTTAGATTAGTATATGAATACTGAAATGGAAAGGAACACACTAAACAGATCATAATCCCTGAAACATTTTAAATACATTAGGCACAAGACCTACATGCATAAAGCTGTATTCAGTTTCCTTGTTTATCTGAAACACAAACTGAAACTTGCCTAACACTTTCAGGTGCTTCTTAAACAAAGCTGGGGATTTCCCTCATTGGTAATAACCACAAACATAAATTAAAGCTAATCATACTGACTTTCCGGTACACTACTGCGTATTTAGGACTCTGCCTGGGCTCTCTTATCTACCATCTTGTAGAAAGAGGGCTGCTTCATCTACTGTGTATTTTGGACAACGGTTTGTCCCTTTGTTTCTCCTCCATGAGTTTGGATGCCTTTTGAGGTATCATTGGCAGACTCTGCATGAGGGTTCCTGAGATGGGGTTGAGGTTGGGTTACCAACTCCCATTTTGAGTTAAGATGGCAGGCCTAATCGCCACCTTGGTGTAACTTTGCCTTCATAGGTTTGGCAGCCTCTTCAGATATTATCACCAAAGTTGGCATGAGGGTTCCTGAGATGAAGGTGGCAACATTTGTTGACATTTGGACAAAGCACCATTTTGAATCAAGATGGCAAACCAGAAACATGACTTTGATGTGACGTTACCCAGGTCCAACCTGAAAAATTATACTGTCCATTTAAAAATCACAGTACAGTGGTACCTCGGGTTACATACACTTCAGGTTACAGACTCCGCTAACCCAGAAATAGTGCTTCAGGTTAAGAACTTTGCTTCAGGATGAGAACAGAAATCGTGCTCTGGTGGCACGGCAGCAGCAGGAGGCCCCATTAGTTAAAGTGGTGCTTCAGGTTAAGAACAGTTTCAGGTTAAGTACGGACCTCCGGAACGAGTTAAGTGCTTAACCCGAGGTACCACTGTATGTATTTGGTTTCTAAAAAATTTTGGGCGGTGCTGGGCCGTCTTCATTCGTGTAACAGGAGGTTATTCTTGAGACCTTTCAACATTTCACAGTGGTAGATTAAGATTGCTTCCTTTCACAAGGGGTTTTGCAGTCCACTAGTGTGACCTGATGGACAGTGGTGGGCCAATACAATCTAGTCTCAAATACAAGAGTGGGTGGCGCTGTGGTCTAAACCACTGAGCCTCTTGGGTTTGCCGATCGGAAGGTTGGCAGTTCGAATCCACTCGACAGTGGTAAGCTCCCGTTTCTCTGTCCCAGCTCCTGCCAACCTAGCAGTTCGAAAGCATACCAGTGCGAGTAGATAAATAGGTACCACTGTGGCAGGAAGGAAAACAGTGTTTCCATGCATTCTGGCACTTGTCACGGTGTCCCGTTGCACCAGAAGCGGTTTAGTCATGCTGGGCACATGACCCAGAACAGCTACTGCGGACAAACACCGCCTCCCTTGGCCTGAAGCGGGATGAGCACCGCCCCCCATAGTTGCCTTTGACTGGAGTTAACTGTCCAGAGATCCTTTACCGTTACCTTTTTTACCTAAGTCTCAAATACGCCACAAGGAGTAAGAAACTGAAAGCTGCTGTCTCCAGAATTCAAGAGAAGGGAGGCAGGTTACTTGCTGCCAGTGTTCAAAATTAGCAGGCGTGAGTGGATTTCGACATCTCCACCATCTTGAGGTACATGCCTGGGGATCGTTGGATCTGGACTGTTTTCATACACTAGCACCCCATTCTGTAGAATTCGATCAGTTAAATTTTATCTGCCCAATCGGAATGAATTCATGGAACCGGTTTGCTTTTTCTGTGCAGCCAGAGCAAGAGTAGTCACCGCTAGGAAAAAGAGCTTGGGGTAGGCCAGGTATGTGGACTGTCCCTGGATCAAGAGACTTCTCAAGGTTGTCATCTGAACTGAGAATCAATCACAGTTAGTCCAAAATTTGAAAAATGAAGACTTTATTCCTGCCCAAAAATGGCAACTAGATATTCCGTTTTGGCGACTAACCTTGGTTTAGGGAGCCATTTGACTCCTAGCTTATATATCTGAGTTTGTAACACTGCTTGCAGAATGGTAAAGGATGCGAAAAAGACACCTGTATATGCAGTATGGGACGCGGGTGGCGCTGTGGGTAAAACCACAGTGCCTAGGAGTTGCCGATCGTATGGTCGGCGGTTCGAATCCCCGCGGCGGGGTGAGCTCCCGTCTTTCGGTCCCAGCTCCTGCCCACCTAGCAGTTTGAAAGCACCCTTAAAAGTGCAAGTAGATAAATAGGTACCGCTTTATAGCGGGAAGGTAAACGGCGTTCCGTGTGCGGCTCTGGCTCGCCAGAGCAGCGATGTCACACTGGCCACGTGACCCGGAAGTGTCTCCGGACAGCGCCGGCTCCCGGCCTCTAGAGTGAGATGAGCGCACAACCCTAGAGTCTGACAAGACTGGCCCGGGCAGGGGTACCTTTACCTTTATATGCAGTATATTGTGCTTATACCCCCCCAACAGCTGATACATTTAAAACAAAACTCAAGTAATAGAAGAACATATTTGGCTAATATTGCACATTGGAGTCTAAATGTTTTTATGCTAGTTTTTCTGAACTGAAGACATTACCTTAAAAGCAGTAGAAAGTTTTCCGACTTAGAGCAAGATTGAGCACACAAAACCTAATGCACCTGATGAAATGAACGTTGCCCCTCAAATCAGGGTGTACTGACAGGAAAAGTCTATGTGTGTTGTAGTGGGATTCTCCAGCTTTTTCAAAATACTGAATAAAATTAATCATGAAGACAAAATCCCCACCATTTCAAGTAAAGCTAGAACTCCCTGTTCAGGAAACTCCCACAAAGAAAAGCATTTGTGTGGGATACTAGAAGCTGAAGCATCAGTGGTGGTTTTACAAAGCGATTGTTGCTGTTTGATTTTTCTCTTTAATCATTAACCTTCTTGTGCTAGAAAGTAATTGCTGCTATTGATTGGCAATTCTCAGGTTCAGAAACATCGATACTGTTGTCTCGGGTAGGTGTTTGGAAAGGTTTTGTTATTGTTAACAGAAGGCAGTTTTTTTCCTTTTTTATTTTATGCCCTCCAGTCCACTTCTGTTGTTTTCCTGTTGGTATATCACCTTCTGTTGAGAACATGAAGCTGTCTAGTTTTGTTGCAGATAATCCCTCTTATACTCAAGGTGGTAACGGAATGGAGGTGCTGCTGACAGGAGGCTACGTAATGGGCAGCTGATCCTATAATCACTACAATTTAGTATTGTTGTTATTATATCATTTATTACATTTCCATACCGTCCTTCACTCAGAGGATCATAGGGTGGTTTACAATATAAAAACACAAAAATGCATACCATAATAATAAACAAACAGTAACCCCACACATAGTTTATAAAGCCATAGGTTGTTTCAGTAGCCAAAAGCCAGAGAGAAGAAGGTATGTAAAGATGTGTAACGAAGGCACCAGGCAAACCTCCATGGGGAGAGCATTGCACAAACAGGGAGCCACCACAGAAAAGGCCTCTTCTCGTGTTGCCACTCTTTGGACCTCTCATTGAGGAGGGACGTGAAGAAGGGCCTCAGATGATGATTATGGGGCCAGTTCATAGGGTATACAAAGTAGTATGCAAAGTAATTCTCTTTTCTCTCACCACTTTTTCTCACTAAAATTTAGTTCTGTATTGGTAAATGACATCAGGGGCAAACTTTTTTAAACAGGTGTTTTGTTCTACTTTATCTCAAATGAATTGGTTTTTTGGGGTGTGTGTGACATATTCTTGAGCTTTGTCAGGGCACAAGGAACCTCATGAAGGTGACTCAGAGCCTCTAATGAGCCTTCATTCTGGTGCATGTGCTTAGCTTGCCAGTTTTTCCTGATCTCATGTTCCAGCACAGGGTCACCCAGTGCTGCTGGGCTGCCTGTAGGGAGTCTCATACCTTGCATGTTCTTCACACAGATATATGATGTCAGCTTCAGTAAAACGTTGCCAAGCTTTCTGTTTCTCATGATCTAGCAAGGGTCCAGGCAGGCAAAAACATGTCTGAGCTTAAAGCAGAAATTTGGGCCTGCTTAAAACATGGGCCAGGGACGTGGGTGGCGCTGTGGTCTAAACCACTGAGCCTTGGGCTTGCCAATCGGAAGGTTGGCTGTTCGAATCCCCGTGATGGGGTGAGCTCCCATTGTTCGGTCCCAGCTCCTTGCAATTCGAAAGCAATTGCAATTCGGTCCCAGCCACCTTGCAATTCGAAAGCATACCAGTGCAAGTAGATAAATAGGTACTGCTCCGGTGGGAAGGTAAACAGTGTTTCCGTGCGGTGCGCTGCTCTGGTTTCGCCAGAAGCGGCTTAGTCATGCTGGCCACATGACCTGGAAAAACTGTCTGCGGACAAACGCCGGCTCCCTCGGCCAGTAAAGCGAGATGAGCGCCACAATCCCAGAGTCGTTTGCGACTGGACTGAACTGTCAGGGGTCCTTTACCTTTTTAAAACATGGGCCAGGGTTTACTTGACTACCGTTTGCTTCTTTTCTACCCCAAGTAACAGTTTAGTGTTTAGTATGGCAGCACCTGCACTTGGGAACTCCCTGCCTCCTGAGATCAAGCAGGTCCCTTCACTGTAGTCTTGCAGGGGCCTGCTAAAAAACAAAACCCCAAAGTTTCTGAGCTGGCACCCACCCCTCTTCCATAACCTAGGATGTGGAAATGCCTGCACTCGAATGCACAAACTTCACCTAGCCAGCCCACTCGTAAATGTTTGCCAGCCCAGTCTTGGGACTCCAGCTGCTTGTTACACTAAATGCTCTTGGTTCGACATCTTCGCTTGTGCCTAGCCATGCCTTTGACCTCCCATGTAACGGCAGATCCTTGCAACCTGTGACTTGCCTTATGTACCATTCACATCTGAAAAGAAAAGACTTCTGCAAAACCGGAGCCACGAGTTCCAGTTCCTCATCAGACAGGGAGAGCCAGGACGGTAGATACTGACAGGTGGTCTGGACTCTTAAAGAGAGGGGGAGGCAGATTGAAAAGATGTTCTTGTGTGGTTGTGAAAGCAACTGGGAAGATGGCACTTGTAGGAAGTACCAGTTTTAGCAATCTTGAAAATATAGAAGTAGAATCAGAACATAAGCGGAGCCCTGCTGGATCAGGCCAGTGGCCATCTAGTCCAGATCCCCGTTCTCACACTGGCCAGTGCGATGCCTCTTCTGGGAAACGGGCAAGTGGGATCTGAGCACACTCTCCACTTGTGATTCCCAATAATTGGCATTCAGGATCATTCCTGTCCCCGAACCTGGAGGCAGAGCATAGCCATCATGGCTAGTAACCATTGATCGCCTTATCTTCTGTGAATTTCTCTGATCCTCTTTCAAAGTCATCCAAGCTGGCCGCCTTTGCCTTCTGTGGCATTGAGTTCCATCGCTTAACTATGCACTGTGTGAAGAATTATTTTACCTGTCCTGAATCCTGCCCCTGACGCTATAACTTTACTCGTATGAGGAGTTTCTCCATCCCCTTGGATCGCTTTGGTTCTCCCTTTTGTGAACCTTTTCCGACTCTTCAATACAGTCAGGCCTCATGTTACGTTTGCTAGAGGTTGAGTGTTTTCAGGTTGCGGCGACCCAGAAGTAACGGAATGGGTTACTTCCGGGTTTTGCCGCTCGCGCATGCGCAGATGCACAAAATGACGTCATGCGCAGAAGCGGCGAATCGGGACATGCGCGGAGGCGAGTTACGTTCTGTTCAGGTTGCGAATGGGCTTCCAGAATGGATCCTGTTCGCAACCAGAGGTACCACTGTATCATTTTTGAGGTGAGGCAACCAGAACTGTACACAGTGTTCCAAATGCGGTCACGCCACAGATTAGTACAGCGGCATTGTGATAATGGTGGCACAGGGATTGCTATTGCTTAGGCAATATGTGGTATTTGAAACAACTAATTAATTATTTTCTCTCTCTCTCTGTCTCTTGCCCACAGAGCACTCTCTGGTCCCCTACGTGTTACTATGAGTCTGCTACACAGTAACAACAGCAGCTTTGAAGCCAGTGGTCAGGATAGCGGCTGCTGTGCAGCTATGGCCAGCAGTTGCAGCGCTGGAGCCAAAGAAAAAAGCATCAACACCAGTGTCAGCAATGGCACTGGCGGGACACTTTCAAACTCTTTCATGGAAGAAATCCAGGGCTATGATGTGGAGTTTGACCCTCCGCTGGAAAGCAAATATGAATGCCCAATCTGTCTGATGGCTCTCCGGGAGGCAGTGCAGACACCATGCGGACACCGTTTCTGCAAAGCTTGCATTGTCAAATCCATAAGGTAAAGGAGCAGTAGACTTCCGGCATAGTTAAAAGTCATTGTCTGTAACGAAGGGCAAATCATCGCGCTCACCGTTGCACATGTTTCTGAGTTACTGGGTTAGTGATTACGTTTCCATGTCAGCACTGAGTTTGCAAGTAAACTTGAGTTTGTAGCCCATCTCCAAAGCGTCGGTTGAACAGTTTTTCTCATGTATGCCTAAAGTGTCAGATGGAGTGCAGTTTTAAGCAAGAGGAAGCTCCCAATTACATTTGGGATGTCAAAAGAAAAGAAGTGGGAAGTCTAGGTACAGATGGACCAGGTTGCAAGCCGGCTAGAAAGATAACGTGCTTTTCACTGCTGCCGCATAAATCTGATGTCACAAATTCCCTCTTAAAATTTATGTATTTTTAAAAAGCTAAAAGTGTCAGGGATAAGGGTGGTTTGGAGTGAGAGGGCTACCTTATTATTGGAAGATACAGCATTTCCCTTGACTAGTAACCCAAATGGCCAGTTTACCACCCTTGATGTTTCCCATCTTGCGAATGGGGTGTTGGGATATCCTATCTCAGCTACAGATGCCTTCAATGGGTTGAATCCAGGAAAATTTGAGCAGAACTCTGTCTGTACAATGGGAGCTTTCTGGCTTCTTCCCCCCACCACACACAAAAAAGCTGTTCTTGAGTCCACTGGAATGGTGTGGGATAAGCTGGGGGGGACGGACGGTATGCAGCAGCAGCCAAGCCAGAACTGGAGAATATGATGACTGCAAGAATAATTTTATTTGTTATTTATTTTATTTCAATATTTGTAAATTACTCTACATTCAGAGAATATACCAGGAGCGTACAGAAAAAATGTTTTTATGTTGCTTTCCACTGCCCTTTTGTTTTGCAAATAAATAAAAATATATAAAGTAACATGGCACATAAAATGTTACAAAACTGGCAAGAATAAATAAAACACAGAATTTGCATTAATAGATATACAGTAAACCCACAAATTATGGGTTCTGGGGATCACTCTTAAAGCCCAAATAGTGTATAGTTAAAACACATTGGTTGCAATAGTGGGTAGGATTGCCAAAAAAAATTCCCCTGGACGCCCACCCCCTTTTATTTATTTATTTTAATTTGCCAAGTGTGTAAAGCTGATTGAGCACGAGTTAAATGTGTGTAACTTGCAAGCTTACTGTAGGCTGGATATTCTGTTTACCTCTCTATGATGTATATTATTGCTCTTTTTGATAGAGATGCTGGTCATAAATGTCCAATCGACAACGAAATTTTACTCGAAACTCAACTCTTTCCTGACAACTTTGCAAAACGGGAAATCCTATCGCTGACGGTGAAGTGTCCCAACAAGGGCTGTCATCAGAAGATGGAACTCAGGCATTTAGAGGTGGGCTTATAGGATAGGGTTTCTTTTTGCAGAATTGCCGCCCAGTCCTGAGCAGTGTCAGCATACCATAAGACTTTTTGGAATAGCTCAAAGGACACCTTGTCCCCATTCCCTCACTTAGGATGGTGGTAGTTATGGTTGCTACACCTATGGCCCAGTGAAGTTGTGACATCCAGGTGACTTCAGGAAGGTCCGTTGATCAAATTTTTCCCACCAGTAACATTAGATTAAAGAAGTGAAGAGGGTTTGGGACATGCTTTAGCTGTTATTGCAGAAGCACCTGTCCGTGCTGTACTGTAGCATGCTTGATTGGTGTCAAGCATATTGTTGATTTTGCAAAGTCTGTTTCTCTTAAAATATAATAAACAGATCTGTGCCCTATTGCAAAAGTGCCACATTTTCTAAAGTACTTTAATTGAGGAAGCTGTGAAATCTGTGTGGATCATGGTTGCATGAATATTGAGAAGTTATGTATACCTGTACTTTCATGTAAGAAATCTGAATTTTTGAGGCAGCCCTTGAATTAGAAGCAGTTATGGACTGAACTTGGAAATCCAGAAATTGAAGGGGGGAACCCACTTCCCTCCATATAAACAATATAATTAATAATTTCTCTTCCCTGGCAGTAAAACACAACAATAATAAATTAAACAACTAACAATTTGCTGCCCTTTCATGACCCTAAAATGGATTGTTGAGGCAGCTACCTCAGTCTGCCTAGCCTCATACAACTTTGCAAAACAGAAAATCTAGAAAAGTTACTAGCTTGACAGGCCACTTATCCTGTGCAAAGTTCTTTGTAGCTTTCATGAAAAAACAGGTTGGAGGGACCTTTTCTCTTCGGCTCTTAAGAGCTTTCCAGTCTGCTCACCCAGAATTGCTTGATCTCACCAATTGGCTATTTACAAGTCTTAGCTGAATTCAACTTGAACATACTTTTTTATTTTATTTTTTGCACCCCAAACCATGGGAGTAATTGACGTGAAGACACTTGCCTCAGATTGGCTACCACGATCTTAAGTCTGCTTCGGAATCATTTTGTGTCCGTTTATAGGTTAAATTGCTATTTGATCTCATTTTCTTCCACAGGACCATGAGCTGCATTGTGGCTTTGCTCCAGAGAAATGTCCCCAGTGCCATGCCATTTTCCAAAAGAATCAAATACAGGATCATATAAAGCAAGAATGTCCACGACGACAAACCTCCTGTCCAAACTGTGCCGTGTGGATGCCTTATGAAGAAAAAGAGGTAAGTTTCAAAGTATGCAGCTTATTCCGAACAGTTGTGTTTGTTTATTTAAATGAAGCATATTTAACAAACGTTTCCTAAAATTAGAAATATTTTTTTCTTCCTGTCTTGTCTGATAAGAGCGTCAGTATTTTACAGTTGTGAGAACACCTTTCTATATGATATTCACAAAGATTTCACCAAGTTATTTTCTTTTTACTTATTTCCCCCCACCCCTCACAAGCAGCTGGATTTTTATTTTTTTATATAAATCTTGGGTTTTTTAAAATTTGCCTTAAAATAAATAAATCCACACGTCCCAGTTCCATCTCTCAAGCAGTTTACCCTGTTAGTTTGAAACTGAACCTGGACTTCTGGCATTTTGAACTTCATGTGAAAAGGATCTAGGAGTCTTGGTTGACCACAAACTTGACATGAGCCAACAGTGTGACGCAATTCTGGGCTGCATCAAAAGGAGTATAGCATCTAGATCAAGGGAAGTAATAGTGCCACTGTATTCTGCTCTGGTCAGACCTCACCTGGAGTACTGTGTCCAGTTCTGGGCACCACAGTTCAAGAAGGACACTGACAAACTGGAACGTGTCCAGAGGAGGGCAACCAAAATGGTCAAAGGCCTGGAAACGATGCCTTATGAAGAACGGCTAAGGGAGCTGGGCATGTTTAGCCTGGAGAAGAGGAGGTTAAGGGGTGATATGATAGCCATGTTCAAATATATAAAAGGATGTCATATAGAGGAGGGAGAAAGGTTGTTTTCTGCTGCTCCAGAGAAGCGGACACGGAGCAATGGATCCAAACTACAAGAAAGACGATTCCACCTATACATTAGGAAGAACTTCCTGACAGTAAGAGCTGTTTGACAGTGGAATTTGCTGCCAGGGAGTGTGGTGGAGTCTCCTTCTTTGGAGGTCTTTCAGCAGAGGCTTGACAACCATATGTCAGGAGTGCTCTGATGGTGTTTCCTGCTTGGCAGGGGGTTGGACTCGATGGCCCTTGTGGTCTATTGCAACTCTATGATTCTATGATTCCTTTTTTGCCATGTGTTTTCTCCCAAGAGTCCGAGCTGGTGGTCTGCTGATCAGGTCTAGCCCCAGAAAAAATTAATCAAAGTGTCAATCAATCAATCAATCAATAATAAATTTTATTTATATCCCGCCCTCCCCAGCCAAGACCAGGCTCAGGGCGGCCAACACCAGGTATAAAAACAATTGATTGAAATACAACTTAAAAACAAGATTAAAATACAACATTAAAATGCAGCCTCATTTCAGTAGGAACTCAAATCAAAAACTTTTTTGGGGATGAAAACGTCAAGTCTTCACCAAGGCCAACTATCCAGACTGGTCCTACGTGGGCCAGAAAAAAGCCAGGGAAGTCCCCAAATAGGAGTTCCATCACAGAAGGAGAAAGGAAAAAGGAAAGAGGGGAAGGGGATCAAGTTGATTCCAAGCCAAAGGCCAGGCGGAACAACTCTGTCTTACAGGCCCTGCGGAAAGAAATCAGATCCTGCAGGGCCCTGGTCTCATGAGACAGAGCGTTCCACCAGGCCGGGGCCAGTGCTGAAAAGGCCCTGGCTCTGGCTGAGGCTAATTTGACTTCCTTAGGGCCCTGGACCTCTAGGGTGTTGCTGTTTATGGACCTTAAGGTCCTCCGCGGGGCAGACCGGGAGAGGCGGTCCTGTAAGTACGAGGGTCCAAAGCTCCCCATTGCTTTCATTTTGTTAGAAAAGTAGGTTTCTAAGGTTTTGTTTTTGTTTTGTCTTTTTAATCTTCCTTTTGTGCTTTCCACATAATATCCTCCATAGATTGGCAAGAGTATATGTGAAGTCCTTCCTTGTTGGATTATGCTACTGTTCTTATAGGCCAAAGACACTCATGAGGCCGTAAGGCTATGTAGCAAAAGAGATTTCTGGACCACTACTCAGTGACAACAAGAAAACACAAGATTCCAAAACACAAAGGACCTGCTGGTCTTAATATCATTTAACCATGTTCTACAAAGGTCTGCTGACTAGATACGTATGCACCTCCTGAATTAATATATTAGTGCTCTTTTAGGAAATGAACTCAGTTGCTCACTGGTACTTATTGTTTTCTCTAATGCGAAGATGGGATTTGAGAGAGAGGAGTCACATTCTAGATGGTATAAACAATGTTAGTGATCTATTAGTCCCCTTTCGGTGCAATTAATTATTGTTTACTTTCTGGTTTTGGTGAAATGAAGGTTCATGACCAGATGTGCCTTTTAGCAAATGTCTGCTGTGAATACTGCAATACAGTGCTAATCAGAGAACAGGTAAGAAGCTTTCTTGTTTGATAGCAAGGTAGTCCTGTTGTGGTTTGACTTGTGTCAATAAGTTAATTTCTTTATTTTAATAGTTTGTCATTTATGAGCCCCTCGTGACATAGAAATACGGACAGGCAGATAATAATTTTAAAACAATATGGAGAACTGAATGTAGGAATGCCAAATAGCAAGAAAAGTTTCTTGCATTTACCATCAACTTACAAAAACAAATAGACTAATTTTATTTATTTTTATTTTATATTTTAAAATTTTCTATGCTGTCCTCCATCCAAATACCACAGGGTAATTTACAATATAAAAACAAAAATATAAACAGCATAATAACAAACAAACACAGTAACTCCTCCTCCCAGTTTAAAAGGCCATAGATTGTTTATTTAGCCAAAGGCCAGGAAGAATATTTTTGCCTCATTCCTAAAGATATGTAGACTGTCTCTCCAGAGTGGTGCATGCTCTAGTTATCGCTCGCTTGGACTACTGCAATGCGCTCTATGTGGGGCTACCTTTGAAGGTGACCCGGAAACTACAGCTAATCCAGAATGCGGCAGCTAGACTGGTGACTGGGAGCGGCCGCCGAGACCATATAGCACCAGTCTTGAAAGACCTAAACTGGCTCCCAGTACGTTTCTGAGCACAATTCAAAGTGTTGGTGCTGACTTTGAAAGCCCTAAATGGCCTCGGTCCTGTATACCTGAAGGAGCGTCTCCACCCCCATCGTTCTGCCCAGACTGCCCAGACTGAGGTCCAGCGCTGAGGGCCTTCTGGCAGTTCCCTCCCTGCGAGAAGCCAAGTTACAGGGAACCAGGCAGAGGGCCTTCTCGGTGGTGGCGCCCACCCTGTGGAACACTCTCCCACCAGACGTCAAAGAGAAAAATAACTACCAAACTTTTAGAAGACATCTGAAGGCAGCCCTGTTTAGGGAAGCTTTTAATGTTTAATAGGTTATTGTATTTTAGTGTTTTGTTGGAAGCCGCCCAGAGTGGCTGGGGAAACCCAGCCAGATGGGCAGAGTATAAATAATAAATTATTATTATTATTATTATTATTAGTAGTAGTAGTAGTAGTAGTAACAAAGGTGCCAGGGAAGCCTCCCTTGGGAGAGCATTCCCCAAGCAAGGAGCCACTGCAGAAAAGGCCCATTCTCATGTTGCTGCCCTCTGAACCTGTCACAGGAGACGCATGAAGAGGGGCTTCAGATGATGACTGCAGGGTTTGGGTTGGTTTATATGGGAAAGGTAGTCTTTGAGGTATTGTGACCCTGAGCCATTTAAGGCTTTATAGGTGAATTGGGCCTGGAAATTGATTGGCAGCCAGTGCAGTCAAGCCAGAAATGGTGTTATATGCTCAAACCGTCTTACCCTGGTGAACAGCCTGCCCACTGAATTCTGCACCAACTGAAGTTTAATAATATTTTTATTATTATTTATACCGTGCCAGTCTGGCTGGGTTTCTCCAGCCACTCTGGGGAACGGTCTTCTGAGTTTCTGCCGCCTTCAGAGGCAGCCCCATTTAAAAAAAAATTTAAAAAATTATTTTGATTCACTTGTAGGATTATAACAGTCCAAATCTGTGTATGTCAACTCCGGAGTAAGTCTCATTGATACTTATACACAGCGAGTATAAGATTTGCAGCCTTAAATTACCTTTTGCATTGTATTGCTTTGTTAATTGCCTTAGAAATTTCAGTTGAAGGTCATCTTGGGAATCTTAAGTAAATAAAATAACCTATGGCATATGCTATAAACTAGCAAACAGATTTTTCTTAGCATCAAGCTTTGTGGGCCAAAATGTAAATGTGCAATTACACACTGTTGGTGGTGGTGATGTTGTGGTGTGGAGAAGATCCCATATTAGTCGCACTCTGGGTGTTGAAATCAATGGTCTTCAGTGGGTCTGCTCTGAGCATGACTTAGTTGTATATCGCCCTATATACTCTATATGTAGGCCACTGATTACTGTTTCTTAAAATTGTTGATTTCTGCACTTTACAAACTGAAAATTACAGTGTCCTCTCTCCATCCATCTTTAGCTTCCTAATCACTACGATAACGATTGCCCAACTGCTCCAGTACCGTGTACATACAGCCCCTTTGGATGTCCAGAAAAAGTAAGCCAACGCTTCTATTTGCTTCTTATTTGGTTGAATTTTGTGTTGCTACTTTATTGCCCCAAAAGCCTCTTTTTCCCCTTGGTGTACCAGAGACCTCTGGGCAATGAAATGGGCTGAATTATGAGTAAAGCACAAGTGGCAAAAGACATGTTGCAAATCCAACCAAGCACAAGGGAGAACACGTAATCCTGCCTCCTGCAATGGTGATGAGGGCAGGGAAGATATCATTCACCATAATATCTTTCTGAACCAGTTCTGTGAGATTCGCATTTGGGGCACTGTTGTGCATTGGTTGTGGTCCTATTTCTCGGTTTAGTTTCCAATAGTCATACTGGGTGATTCTTTTGTGGTCCTTTGGGCGTGCCACAGGGTACCATCCTGTCCTCAATGCTATTTAGCATCTATATTGAAGCTGTTGAGAGTGGTCATTGGGATATTGCAGGCGATGGAGGTGTCATTCCTGTGCTCATGTTACCTACCTCTGTTTCTCTGTAACATCTAAATCTAAAACACGTGGGCCCTGTTGAAAAGGGTATGGAAGGCTACATTTTCCCCATCTCTGGAAAATGCCAACATGGTAGCTTTTCTGCATGGTGTTCATCATCCCCTGAGGACATACAAAATTAAGCTTTACAATACGAGGACCTTCCAAATGTGCTTTGAAATAAGGTGATCTGTCTGAACTTGGAAGCAGGTAGCACATGGTATAATCCTGATCTCACCATTCATTTAGATCAGCAGTGACACAGGTTTGTGCAGAAAATCTGTATTGAGATTTTTTTTCTCCAAAGCCTTAAATTGCTTTCCAATAAAGGCATCTGAACAGTGCAGTAGTAACACTTGCATTCTGTTCAGTTTTTCAAATAATAATATTTCTCTTTGTTCAGTTTTTCAATTCCTGTTTCAGACAATCACTGGAAGATTAAGCAAGTTCTGCTTTTAAACACAGTGGTTTTTTCCTTGCCCATTAAGGCTCAGTGCTTGACTTTAGTCAAAGGAAATGCTTATGGAACTATGTGCCTTTATTTAATTACAGATGCAGAGAAATGAGTTGGCACGGCATATGCAGGAGTTCACCCCAGTCCATATGAGAATGATGGCTCAGACTCTCCTGAATATCACTAATTTCCATGGCGCTATCCCATATGACCCATCACCTTCCTGTGAATGTAGCCCAGAGGTCCACAACTTCAAGGAGACGATTCAACAACTGGAAGGTCGCTTGGTAAGGCAAGATCACCAGATCCGAGAACTCATAGCAAAGATGGAGACACAAAACAACCAGATGAGAGATCTCAAACGCACTATCCGAAATCTGGAGGAAAAAGTCGCAGAAGTGGAATCACAGCAGTGTAATGGCATTTTCCTGTGGAAGATTGAGAATTTCAGTGTTTACTTGAAAGCGCAGGAGGAAGATAGGCCTGTTGTAATCCACAGCCCAGGCTTCTACACAGGGAAACCCGGCTACAAACTCTGCTTGCGGCTGCATATCCAGTCACCGAATGCACAGCGCTGTGCCAACTATATTTCCCTTTTTGTTCATACGATGCAAGGGCAATATGACAGCCACCTGCCTTGGCCCTTCCAAGGCACCATACGGCTTTCTATCCTGGATCAGTCAGAAGGATCGTCAAGGCACAACCACGAGGAAGTGATGGATACCAAGCCCGAGCTGCTGGCTTTCCAGCGTCCCATGGTCGACCGCAACCCAAAAGGCTTTGGATATGTGACGTTTATGCAGTTGCAGGCGCTAAAGCAAAAAACCTATATAAAGGACGATAGTATCCTAGTGCGCTGTGAGGTCATAACACGCTTAGACTTAAACAGTCTCCGAAGGGAGGGTTTTCAGCCTCGTAGTACTGATGGAGCGGCATAGGCCACCATGCTTCAGGCTTGAGCTTTTGCTGGTCAACTGTGATAAGGGCTGCAGATGAATAAAGAGATTCATCAGAATGGCAGATCCTTGAAGCAGAACCAAAACTGCCATTCTGAGATGCTTTTCAGAGCATGGAAAGTGTTTCCTCTTTGAGTTATTTGTATTCAAAGTGGTAAAGACAACGTCCTGATGGTCTAAATAAGTAAGCTAAATAACTATGCTATGACGGGTATGTTACCAAAAGTTAATAAAAACTATGCAGTACCATTTTTAGGATAGCAGAGGCTTGGTCAGATTCTGCTTTTTTATTTGATGGTTGCATTACCTTGGTGTATACATCTCAAAGGAGCTGAATTATTTGACTGCTTAACCTGGTAGCTTGCTGGGGACTTTTAGCCAAGACTAGATTTTGAACCAGGACAAACCAACTAAATAAGCCTTGGGAGTATCATAGTAGAAAGCAAGCACACCTGTAACTTCATTGATACGCTGTCAATAACCCTAGGCAGGAATGTTGGTTCTCTGTTTGCCACGCACCTTTTTGCAAACCTCAGTGAGCTTGAGCTGTAAATTGGTTGTCTTCACTTTATCACTTCCCTTCCCATGGAATTTTGTATTGAGAATCCATTCTCAACAGCTGCTAGTATGGTGGAATGTGTAGAAGTTTTTGATCTATCAAAAAGCTCAGTGTGGCGCTGCCCTAGAGAAGCTTAATGATTTCAGTCTGGTTAACTCACTGATGAGATCTCCAGGCATCTTTGTCTTCAGCCTTTTGCCTTCCCATTGTGTCTTCTTTTTGTCATATCTCTGATCCAGCTGTATTTTTGCCCTTGTAGTGGTGACAGAAAATTCTACAAGTGTGCAAACATGTCTTGTTTTGTACTTGAAAATGTCTTCTTTGGCGCTCACTTGTAGACAAGTAAGAACATGGTCTTAACAGTGAATCCATAAGTGACTGTGGAGGCCAATTCTGGATCCACACATCCTTCCACAGTGGGGACATTGGTTTCCGGGTGGGAGTTGATCATGGTGAGGGTTTGCCAAATGTGCCTTCCTCTTACCTCGTTTCTCCTTTTCGCTCCGAGTTCACGCTTCTTCAAAGTCCACGACACCTTTGGTAAAGGCTGTTCTCCACAACTACAAATCAGCTGATCAGATTAGGGTCAAGAGTGTTGTATCTGAGCCTAAAATTGAAGAGTGTTAGGGAAGTTTTCTGTCCATAGTTCTGACCTGTGCATAGTAATCAAAATAGAATGGGGCTACGCTGGTGCACAATCTCCTTGTCGATGTTATTTGACCAGTATATCCTGTGAAAGTTGTCTTCTGTAAGAAGCCTGTGAACAAAATTCATTGGTGCTGATAGAAAAGGTTGTGGGTGATTGTAGCACTCTCAACAATAGCTATGTGACATTAACAGAGAGATGTCTAGAAATGTGCTATTCTGGTCATAAATGAGGGATTCATTGTAAAGGCATCCTCGGTATTGCTCACTCAAGAATTCAAAGCCCTCTACCAATGTGTATAAAGCCATACTATGATAAGAACCTGCTGGTTCAGGCCAGTGGCCCATGTAGTCCAACATCCTGTACTCACAGTGGCCAAACCGATGCCTTGTAGGAAACACGCAAGCAGGATTCAGACAGGAAGAGAGTGCATTCTCTTCCTGTGATTTCCAGGAACTGATATCCAGCAGCATTGCTGCCTCCAACTGTGGTGACAAAGCATAGCCATTGTGGCTAGTAGCCATTGATTGCCCTCTTCTCTTTCCAAACCACCCTAGTTGGTGGCCATCACTGTGACAGCTTTGTCTTTCATTGGCTCTCAGCCCTATAAGACGTGCATCCTGAATGAGTGAAATGGGTTTTTTAACAGCAAAGAGGATTTACTATCAATAGGAAGGCAGTGGCAAATTTTGAGGATGTGTGAGAGAGAGAGACAGAGAGCACAGTTTTCAAAATACATGGTGGCACTAGGATTCCTTTGGGATCGATATAAACATGATGTCATGAAAGGAAGCATTTTAAAGCTTCCTTTGTGTAAATTGAGGTAAACAGTTAAGATTGGCCCATTGGCTGGTATACCAGATCCCCTTCGTCGTCTACTTTCTGCTTAACTTATTTATTGTAGAAGAGATGCATCTTTGGAAACAGGGACCTATGGAACCTTTTCGGAAAAAATAAAATTTTGCCTATACTGAAGATTCAAAGAGCCATATGAGCAAAAACATAAGTGCCAGTTTATAAACTAGATATTGCTATGTACTGCCTCTTTGTCTTGTGAAAAGTGTAGGTTTCCAGATTTTTAGTATTTAAATGTTGCATTAGTTTGTGTTCTCTGCTTACAGCCAGAGTTCATGTTGGTTGTAGAGGTTTTTTTGTAAATAAATAACTACCCCTATAGCTGTATACCCTAGATCCTGGGAATATAGGAACAAGCCCCTTTGAACTCAGTGGGACTTAATGCCTTCCTTTTATTTCATGTTTATTTTGATTGTTAAGTCAGGGAGCAGGACTCTGTTGTCTGTTCAGCGTTCTATATGTGCATAGCTTTGGAGTTCCTTTTAAGAATTCATTTGATGCCCATCAAAGAAAATGAAGTAGTGTGAAGACTGCTGGTTGTGCACAGTGACATCTATATGCTTCTGTACTAGTTTCCTTGCTGTGGCAGGAAAAACCTCTTCGTGAGGAGATGAGACACTTTCTTTACCCTAGAAGGCAAATGCAGAGCTCTGCTTGCGAGTGCCAAGCTAGATCAATGGCCTTGGTGCTTCTCCAACACTGTGACAGCTCCTCTCTTTGCAAAAGATACTTGTCCCACATCATAATATAAGTAGATATATTCGAAAAGGATATGTTGCCTTTGAGAACTGAAACATATTAAATTCAGTCACTTTAGTATGCTTTCTTCTTCTTTGGCGATCCCTCGTGGCCGAGTAAGATTGTCTTCCATGAACACGGTCTTAACAATGAGTCCGTAAGGGACTGTGGAGGCCAATTCTGGATCCACACCTCCTTCCACAGTGGGGACATAGGTTTCCGGGCGGGAGTTGATCCCGGTGAGGGTTTGCCAAACGTGCCTTCCTCTTAGCACATTTCTCCCTTTTGTCCTGAGTTCGAGCACATGTGATGGCTACTTCCTACATTTTTGGTGGGGTGCAAGAGCTTAAGGGTTTGGAAAGAGGCTTTATATACTACTGAGGGTTTGGGTTTTGTTTTACCTGATGAGATATTGGAACAACCAGTTGGGGACAGGCACACATTCCATGAAACACTGCCAGGTGGAGCCTTTTCCATTGAGAGATGGTTTCTCTTTGCCATAACTGGCCTAACACTGATATAGCACAACAGATCTGCGTTACGGGTGATAAGGATGCACTAAAATATTGTCAAATAGTGTCAATTCTACTAGTTTCTCAGAAGAATACTTAATCTATTTTGTAACTCATGCAGAAGCCTGTATATAGTATTGATAAACTAATAAAGCCATTATACTGTTCACTTTGCATTGTACTAGGCTATTGTTTGCCATAATCATACCAAGACAAGGACCTGACAGAAATATCGCTGAGTTTGCTGTGCTTCAAGAACCTGTATTTTGGCCTTATTTAGTAGCCCACCGCTCTCAACAGGGAAGGAAAGTGTTTGTTTAGTGATAGCTAATAGAAGGGACGCGGGTGGTGCTGTGGGTTAAGCCACAGAGCCTAGGACTTGCCGATCAGAAGGTCGGCGGTTCGAATCCCCGCGACGGGGTGAGCTCCCGTTGCTCGGTCCCTGCTCCTGCCAACCTAGCAGTTCGAAAGCACGTCAAAGTGCAAGTAGATAAATAGGTACCGCTCCGGCGGGAAGGTAAACGGCGTTTCCGTTCGCCAGAAGCGGCTTAGTCATGCTGGCCACATGACCTGGAAGCTGTACGCCGGCTCCCTCTGCCAATAAAGCGAGATGAGCGCCGCAACCCCAGAGTCAGTCACAACTGGACCTAATGGTTAGGGGTCCCTTTACCTTTAATAGCAGGCAACTTGTGCCATTCTAGTGCAGACAGCTCTGGTCTGATGCCCTGCAGATCTACAACTACAACAGAGGCTATAACTCTTCTCTGCCCCAGCCAACATGGCCCGTGGTCAGGGATGGTAAGAGATACAACTAAAAACATTTGGAGGGGGACCACATTTGCGGAAGGCTCTTGCAGAGGTTGGATGGCCATCTGTCATGGATGCTTTAGTTGAGATTCCTGCATTGTGGGGACCTCTTCAAACTATGATCTTTTTAGTTTGGCTTTTTACAACGATAAAGAATCATGTTTAATGATTAAATTTCAGTATACCTGTGGAAATGTTTATTATAATGGGTGTGATGTTAATGTCATTCCCTGGATAGTTCTCCTATGGCAGTTTTTAAAGGATTGACATCTTTTTGACTTCCTCGTTTGCATCCCGCTTTGAACACACAGTGGAATCCCAGAGAAACTGGGGCATTTCCTGCTTTCTTCCAGTAAGGTGCATGGTGGGTACAAGCTACACTTCAGTGTCTTGTCACTTAAAACCAAAATGCAATACAACCAATTTGTATTAGTAGAGTGGCTAACACAGAGATGTGAAACTGAAAATTTTAGATTTTAAGTCGGACACAAAGTGCAATCTATGCGTGTTTATTTTGTGATAAAACCGTGGCCAATAAACCATGTAACTGTGCAGAGAAATAGACTTAAAACACCTGTTTCTGTTTAAGTCCATGATGTGCAGTGTAAAGATTAGAGAACAGTGTGAAATTAATTATCTGGGCTTAGACGGCTTATATTCCATGCTGGGGGGCGGGATAAGAATCTGAGTTTGCTTTTGCAGCAGCATATGAATCTCTCTGGCTTTAGCAGTTAAATTAGTTCACTCCTTAATTCATGAAAACTCCTTGTATCATAAGTGATATGAGTCAGAGCCTGGTAGGCAAAGACCCAGCAGGTGCATTTGAGCATTACATTAGAAGCTGGGAAAATAAACAGCCTTGCAAATTAAATCCACAAACCTGTTAGTTCATGCGCCTTTCTGTACCTGCAGTCAAGAGTGGCAAATCAACTTTTCTCATTCCTCAGTCTCCCTTTGAGGCAGGCACCTGCACTTTCAAATCTTAGGATGACTTGAATTTTAGCTCCCTGGCAAGAGCTGGAGAATGTTCCTAAGCTGCTCTGTGCAGGCCCCCGTCCATGCACAAACAGCAGGACAAATATACTAGCCCACATGTTCCCACACAGTGATGTTAGGTCATAGATGCCATATTTATGGCCCAAAATGGGGAATGAGGGGTAGAGCTCTAAGTGACCTAGTTTCCTGGAGAGCATAAGAGCCCTGTTGGATCAGACTAGGCATAGGCAAACTCGGACCTTCATATGTTTAGGGACTACAACTCCCATCATCCCTAGCTAACAGGACCATTGGTCAGGGATGATGGGAAGTGTAGTTTCAAAACAGCTGGAGGGCCGAGTTTGCCTATGCCTGGATCAGACAAATGGTCTGTATAGTTCAGCAGCCTCTTCCTACGACGACCAACCAGATACCTATGGGGAAGCCCCAAAAGCAGAAATGAGAGCAATAACTCCTGTCGCCTCTTCCCCACATGCTGAAACTCAAGGCATTCTTACTTACTGCAGTTGACAAGGTCAGTGGCTATTTATCAACTGTTGCTGACATTAACAAGACACACTCCAACGCTTGTCAGTGGTGCAGAATGTATTCAGGGAAACTAGGATTGCAACCATTGCCCTCACCTGTGATCGACCACAAACTGAAGGTATATGCAGACTGCATAGAGGCGCTGTTTGTGTGTGTGAGAGACTTCACCCTAGTTTCCATGCGTTTAACGTAGGTGGATAATGGGGCACAGAGTTAAAACTTTAGGGAAATAATGGGGAAGGCAACTTGAAGAACACACATCGCCCGCTGCTCTGGCAGAAACAAGCCTGTCTGTGCCTGAATTTGAAATTCACCCTCATAGTGATTTTCTATTTCAATAGAAGGCGTAACAGTAAAAATATTAGTAGACATTTCTTTTAAACTTGAGTTTTTCAACATGCAGGGAGTTGGTTTTTTAGCACAGATTTCCTAAAATCTTGACTATAGAATACCCTGGTTCCAGCATGTGTATGCACCTACTGAACATGAAGCTAAAATGCCAGGGGATAGCGTTGTTTCATTAAACCCAGAGCTGTGCCTGCAAATTGGAGAGCTTTGTGTGATGCTGAGTTGTCATCTTGAGGGTTTGTTTTTTAATAAGGAGTTCTGCTCTGTAAATCAACTAAATTAATTAACACACAAACCATGACATTTCCCTCCTTGCAGCACTTGGCAAAGAGTTGGTAATTAGCTAGAATTTTCATGTTTTCCTCTCCCATTTAATATTGCACGTTTTTAACCTTATGTTGTTGTTGTTTAGTCGTATCCGACTCTTCGTGACCCCATGGACCAGAGCACTCCAGGCATTCCTGTCTTTCACTGCCTCCCGCACTTTGGTCAAACTCATGCTGGTAGCTTTGAGAACACTGTCCAACCATCTCGTCCTCTTCTCCTTGTGCCCTCCATCTTTCCCAACATCAGGGTCTTTTCCAGGGAGTCTTCTCTTCTCATGAGGTGGCCAAAGTCTTGGCGCCTCAGCTTCAGGATCTGTCCTTCCAGGGAGCATTCAGGGCTGATTTCCTTCAGAATGGAGAGGTTTGATCTTCTTGCAGTCCATGGGACTCTCAAGAGTCTCCTCCAGCACCATAATTCAAAAGCATCCATTCTTCAGCAATCAGCCTTCTTTATGGTCCAGCTCTTACTTCCATACATGACTACTGGGAAAAACATACCTTTGACTATACGGACCTTTGTTGGCAAGGTGATGTCTCTGCTTTTTAAGATGCTGTCTAGGTTTGTCATTGCTTTGAAGAAGAATACGGTACACATATTCTGGGGAGGCCTTATTATTGGGGAGGTCTTATTTTCGGGGGATGCCTTGTACAGTGGTGCCTTGCAAGACGAAATTAATCCGTTCCGCGAGTCTCTTCGTCTTGCGGTTTTTTCGTCTTGCGAAGCACGGCTATTAGCGGTTTAGCGGCTATTAACGGCTTTAAGAAAAAGGAAACAAACTCGCAAGACATTTCGTCTTGCGAAGCAAGCCCATAGGGAAATTCATCTTGCGGAACGACTCAAAAAACGGAAAACTCTTTCGTCTAGCGAGGCATTCGTCTTGTGGGGCACCACTGTATTACAGTGAGAGGCAAAACTGGAAGTAGGTCTTATTTTCGGGGGATGTCTTACTTTTGGGGAACCAGGGTCTCTAAGACCAAAATTCCTACCCTGTTTCCCCGAAAATAAGACAGTGTCTTATATTAATTTTTGCTCCTAAGGATGCGCTAGGTCTTATTTTCAAGGGATATCTTATTTTCCCATGAAGAAAAATACGGTACACATATTCCGGGGAGGCCTTATGGTGGTGGTGGGGCGGAGGCCTTATTATTGGGGATGCCTTATATTACAGCGAAAGGCAAAACTAGGTCTTATTTTCGGGGGATGCCTTACTTTTGGGGAAACAGGGTATCTGAGTGCCTGGAGGCGGTTGGAGGTTGGATGGCGGCTAACAGATTGAGGTTGAATCCTGACAAGACAGAAGTACTGTTTTTGGGGGACAGGAGGCGGGCAGGTGTGGAGGACTCCTGGTCCTGAATGGGGTAACTGTGCCCCTGAAGGACCAGGTGCGCAGCCTGGGAGTCATTTTGGACTCACAGCTGTCCATGGAGGCACAAGTCAATTCTGTGTTCAGGGCAGCTGTTTATCAGCTCCATCTGGTACACAGGCTGAGACCCTATCTGCCTGCGGACTGCCTCGCCAGAGTGGTGCATGCTCTGGTTATCTCCCGCTTGGATTACTGCAATGCGCTCTACGTTGGGCTACCTTTGAAGGTGACCCGGAAACTGCAATTAATCCAGAATGCAGCAGCTAGACTGGTGACTAGAAGCGGCCGCAGAGACCACATAACACCAGTCTTGAAAGACCTACATTGGCTCCCAGTACGTTTCCGAGCACAATTCAAAGTGTTGGTGCTGACCTTTAAAGCCCTAAACGGCCTCGGCCCAGTATACCTGAAGGAGCGTCTCCACCCCCATCGTTCTGCCCGGACGCTGAGGTCCAGCGCCGAGGGCCTTCTGGCGGTTCCCTCACTGCGAGAAGCCAAGTTACAGGGAACCAGGCAGAGGGCCTTCTTGGTAGTGGCACCCGCCCTGTGGAACACCCTCCCACCAGATGTCAAAGAGAACAACAACTACCAGGCTTTTAGAAGACATCTGAAGGCAGCCCTGTTTCGGGAAGCTTTTAATGTTTGATGTATTATAGTATTTTAATATTCTTTTGGAAGCCGCCCAGAGTGGCCGGGGAAGCCCAGCCAGATGGGCGGGGTATAAATAATAATAATAATAATAATAATAATAATAATAATATTATTATTATTATTATTATTATTATTATTATTATTATCTTAAGACCTCAAGATTCCTATCACATCGGAACCGGAGGCCGGACAGGAGGCCGCCGCCCCGCCGCCGCCGAGGGGCGGGCAGAGCCGAGGGGACTCGCCGGCGCCTCAGGCCTCCTCTCAGGGAAGAGCCCGGAGGAGGCCATGGCTTTCGTGAGGCGGCCCCTCATGGCGGCGGCCCTGTTCTCGCTGGCGCTCTTCGCCTCAGCGCGGGCCGAGAGAGGCGGCGGCGGCGGCGGCTGCGCCTCCTCCGGGCTGTGGGAGTCCGAGGCGTCCGAGGCCTGCCCGGCGGAGCTTTCCCCTCACGAAGCGGCCTCCGTCCTTCCTCCGCCGGCGGGCCTGGTGGTGGCGTCTGTGGCGGCGGCGGCGTCGCCGTCCTTCCGCGGCCCGGGCAACTCGGACCCGCGTCCCAACCGGGAGCTGCCCATCCTGCTGTGGTGGAGCGGCGGCCTGTTCCCGCACTTCCCGGGCTCGACGGCGCGGCTGGAGTGCGGCGGCGGCGGCTCGTGCCTGGCCACCACGGAGCGGCGGGCTCGGCTCCGGCGCCGGACGCGGGCGCTGCTCTTCTACGGGACGGACTTCCGCGCCTACGAGGCGCCGCTGCCTCGCCCGCCGCACCAGGCCTGGGCGCTGCTCCACGAGGAGTCGCCCATGAACAACTACCTGCTCTCGCACGCCGCCGGCGCCAGGCTCTTCAACTACACCGCCACCTTCCGCCGAGAGTCCGGCTACCCGCTCAGCCTCCAGTGGCTGCCCGACCTCGACTACCTGCGCCGCCCGCCGGCCCTCGGCCTGGCCCACAAGGAGAGCGCCCGGCGCCGGGAAGGCCTGGCCGCCGTCCTCTACATCCAGTCCCACTGCGACGTCCCCTCCGACCGGGACAGGTACGTCAGGGAGCTGGCCAAGCACCTCCAGGTATTTATCCTCGCCCGCCTCGCCCGAGCGCCGGGCCGGTCTCTGCTTTTAGCATGTATTTCCATTAATTGTGATTTTGGGTCCACTGTGTTGCTTTTACTGTTGTTAGCCGCTCCGAGACGGGCTTCGGCTGGGGAGGGTTTATTTATTTTTGTTTATTTTTATTGTTTGTTTGTTTATTATTTATATATTTATTTATTATTGTTATTTTATTATTCTCCTCAAGGAAATCCTCACGACGACCCTGTGAGGTGGGCCAGGTAGAAAAGGGATCGCCCAGGAAGATCCGCGGGGGCTGAGCGGGGATGTGTGTGTGTGTGTGTGTGTGTGTGTATATATATATATATGTATGTATGTATGTACAGTGGTGCCTCGCAAGACGAAATTAATCCGTTCTGCGAGTCTCTTCATCTAGCGGTTTTTTCCTCTTGCGAAGCAACCCCATTAGCGGCTTAACGGGTTAGCGCTATTAGCGGTTTAGCGGCTATTAAAGGCTTAGCGGCTAAAAGGCTATTAGCGGCTTAGCGGCTTAGAAAAAGGGGGGGGGAAGCGAAAAAAAAATCTCGCAAGACATTTTCGTCTTGCGAAGCAAGCCCATAGGGAAATTCGTCCTGCGAAGCAACTCAAAAACAGAAAACCCTTTCGTCTAGCGGGTTTTCCGTCTTGCGAGGCATTCGTCTTGCGGGGCACCACTGTATATATGTATGTATGTGTGTGTGTGTGTGTGTACAGTCATACCTCAGGTTACAGACACTTTGGGTTGCATGATTTTGGGTTGCGCACCGTCCTGAACCCGGAAATACCGGAACTGGTTACTTCCGTGTTTCAGAGCTTGCACATGCGCAGAAGCGTCGAATCACAACCTGCACGTGCGCACACACGGTGTTGCGGGTTGCGAACACTTCAGGTTGCGAACAGTAGGTTTGGAAGGGGCCCCCCCGAGGGCCATGTATTTCAGGGGTGCCAACTTCAATAAAATATTGGGCGCGCATCATAATAACCCACCCTCTTTTGCACACCTTCCAGAAACCTTGAGCTGCTTGGGGGAAAAGGTGGGTATGAACGTAATAAACGAACAAATTGTACAATAATAATCGTCCAGCATCTTCTTCTCACAGTGGCCTAATTCTCCTATGAACCTAGGAATCTAGGTAGACTGCCTCTGGGCCGGGAGGTTCCACAAAAACTCAGGTAGAGCCGGGCCACTGGCTTTCCTTACAACACAATACTGGGAGGTATGGGGCTCTTCCAAATCCACTTTGTGGTCCGAGGCTGAGGAAGTAAACATTCCAGATTGTGGCTTAAGGTACGAAGAGGCCTGCTGGATCAGGCCAGTGGCCCACTCAGTCCGGCATCCTGTTCTCAGAGTGGACAAGCACATTGTCTCCATGAGAAACCCGCAAGCAGGACCTGAGGACCAGAGCCTTCTCACTTCCTGGGGTTTCCAGCAACTGGGATTCAGAGAATTTGTCCAGTCTTCTTTTAAAGCCATAATAATAATAATAATAATAATAATAATAATAATAATAATATTTATACCCCACCCATCTGACTGGGTTTCCGCAGTCACTCTGGGCAGCTTCCAACAGAACACTAAAATACAATAACCTATTATAAACATTAAAAGCTTCCCTAAACAGGGCTGCCTTCAGATGTCTTCTAAAAGTCTGATAGTTGTTTTTCTCTTTGACATCTAGTTCTCTATCCTTTCTCACCCTGCCTTTCTATCCCTACCCATCCTGCTTTTCCTCTCAGCCATCCATGTCTGTTTGTGACATCACAGAAACTTTGACATCATCGTAGCCAATGACATCATCGTAGCCATTGGCAACTACAGAAACAGCTGCAAAACCCCCCATGGGAAAGATCACTAAACATGCATTTAGAAACTTAACATTGCATTTGTTTTATATGAAACCAGTCAGACACAGTTTTGCTTTTTTAAAAAAGGCATTTATTTAGGAAAATAAACTGCCTTGCTTCAGTCCTGCTGTTCAGTCTCTTCATTACTTTCACGATCCGTCTTGGGGGAAACCGCACCGGCGTCCTGAAAGGCAAACACCATGTTGAGTGGGATGGCCTCCGTCCAGCAGCCTCAGCCAGACCCTCCACTGGCTGCTGCCTGGCAACTTCACCCCGGACGTCCTGGTCAATTTCTGCTGGTTTTTACCCATGAATATCCACTGGTTCCATTCACCCTGTGCCCAGAGGATGGCATCTGCCACCCTCTGAGCACGTATTTCCCAGCCACAACACTACTTACCTGGACCACGTCCGAATGCTCCCATTCACACACGCAGACACACTCCATTCGAAACCTCCCATTCACACACGCAGACACACTCCATTCGAAACCTCCCATTTGCGCTCATAGACACATGCCATCTGCCATCCCGTGAAGAATGTCTGTGGACGCATTCACTCACCAACCACTCTGCATTCCCACACACATACACACACCCAGCTTCAAGTCATGAATATCCACACAGCTTCTGCCAACTGACTTCCAAAGGTGACCTTCAGCCAGCTGACATCTGCAGCACCTTACGGCACCCGCTGGCTTCTGACTACAAACTCCACCAGCCACCAACACCTGCCGGCTTCTGACTGTGAGAATCGGCTGCCTTCAAGCTGCGATCCCACCCAGCAAGCGAACTTGCCTTCTCCCTGTTCCTCAGCATCCCATTGCGTGATGAGTGCCTCCTTCCTCCTGCCATTTTGCATCCATGAGGAAGGAGACCCTCCAGAGCTGAGTGCCACAGCTGCTGCCCACTGAGGTCTGGGCTGGGAAGAGGGAGAGGCCACCTTTATAGCCAGGCAACTGACAGATGCCTTTGTGACATCATAGACAGTGACATCATAGACAGCCCCCAGCCAATGGGAGCAGCTGTGGACGTGTCACCATAACCTGTTTGAGCATCACAACTGTGGCTGCACCTCAGCACCAATGGACCATTTGTTCACTTACTAATAAAAAGTCATATAGCCCACTTCTTATCCATACCAGGGAAGGGCACACCTTAAAACTGAGGGGGGGGGAAACATTTTTCATCCTAAGGATCATATCCCCTTACAGTCAGGCAGTGCAGGCCAGAGGTGGGTGGAGCTGGAAGCAAAAATGAGCAGAGTTCTGAATGCAGCTCTCATCTTTGTACAGGACATAAGAAGAGTGTGTTGGATCAGGCCAGTGGTCCAGCATCCTGATCTCACAGTGGCCAACCGGATGCTTGAGGGTCCCTCTCCCCTCTGGTGGTTTCCAGCAGCATTTCCTCCTCCAACCATGGAGGCAGAACACAGCCATCAAGGCTAGTTGCCCTCTCCTCCATAAATTTGTTTGGTCCTCTTAAAACCACCGTCTCCTGTGGGAGTGAGTTCCACAGGTTAACTGCCTGAAGTCTATCTGTCCTGAATCATCCCAACACTCAGCTTTGTTGGGTGTACCCAAGTTCTAGTGTTATGAGAGTGGGAAGAAAAACACTTTTTCTATGCCATGCATAATTTTGCAAACTTACATTATGTCACCTCTTGCACATCTTTCTTTGAAAGTAATGTTGGCTGACCCTAACTCATCCTGGCTGCAGCCCTGCAGAGTTGCAAAAAAAAAAAGGTTTGGTGTGTTCATTGTCTTCTAGAGCAATCTGACTCATCATAATAATAATAAGAAGAAGAAGAAGAAGTTGTTTTATTTATACCCTGCCCTCCCCAGCCAAGGCCGGTTTCAGGGCGGCTAACAAGCAATAATAAAAACAAGTTGAAATGAAAACAACTTAACAACGAGATTAAAATACAGTGGTGCTCCACAAGACGAATGCCTCGCAAGACGAAAAACTCGCTAGACGAAAGGGTTTTTCAGTTTTGCGTTGCTTCGCTAGACGAATTTCCCTATGGGCTTGCTTCGCAAGACGAAAACATCTTGCGCTTTTTTTAAAAAGCCGCTTGAAGAGGCGCAGTTGCGACGGACCGTGCTTCGCAAGAAGAAAAACATCGCAAGACGAAAAGACTTGCGGAACGAATTCTTTTCGTCTTGCGAGGCACCACTGTACATTAAAATATTGAAACATTAAAATAATAAAATACAGCCTCATCACAGGAGGAGAAAGAAAAAAGAAATGGGCCTCAAGTGACTTGCTCAGTAAAGTCTTAAGTGAAAGTGTAGATTTTGTGTGCATTATTTTCTTGTAGTCTTTATCCATTAAAAAACAAAACTGTTGCGCTTCAACTGTAGGCTAAATATCTGGGTCAGAGGGTGGTAGCCAGCCCTGTGCCAATGTGCCGTTCCTCTGGTGTAGCAGCAGCACAAAACATTTCGCCCTTCCCCAGAGTCTGTGCCAGGGGGTCCCCTAACCCCCCAGAGCTGATTTTGAGGGGTGCAAGTGAGGAGGGGTTGAAGGCAAGGCGAACGTTCTCTTGTGCAAGCACAGCAAGCCTTGAATACTGCCCAGAATACATGCCTCCTGAGGATTTATATGATTCTGAGCCAGGTGGGTGGAGTATAGATAATCAAGTTGTTCATCTAACTGGCATGTAACAGACCAAATAGGAGAAAATCAGTTTGAGGAGAGAGAGAAATGGAAACAGAATGGAGAGCCCTGTTTACTACTGCAAAGTGTCAGGACAGGAACCCCCTTCTGTGCACACAGCCTATATTTAAAACACGTGGCTTCCTTGCAGAAATCCTGGGTGCTGTACAGTGGACACTTGGGTTGAGAACATGATCCGTGTGGGATGCACATTCGCAACCCGCGTCTGCGCACACGCGGATTGCGATTCGGCGCTTATGCGCAAAGCGCGGTTTAGCACTTCTGCGTGTGCGCGACCACCAAAACCCAGAAGTAACCCATTCTGGTACTTTTGGGTTTCGGTGGTCCACAACCCAAAAAGACGCAACCTGAAGCTGCTGTAACCCGAGGTGTGACTGTAGTTTGTCCCTCAGACTCTCCTTCTGTGGAGGCTTTTAAGCAGAGGTTGGACAGCCGTCCGTCAGGGATTCCTTAGTTGTGATTCTTGCTTTGCCAGGGGCTTGGACTAGATGGATCCCTTTCAGCTCTGTGATCTACAATTCTTGGAATCCTTCACAAACTACAGTGCCCAGGTTCTCTCTCTCTCTCTCTCTCTCTCTCTCTCTCTCGGCAATAGGTGTGTGTGCATTTTTGATGTGTGTTTAGCGCTTGGAAACACATTTGGATTGGAGTGAGGAGGTGGGGCCACAACCCAGCCGTTTCTTTTTCAGGATGATTTATTTCTGTTGTAGGTGGACTCTTACGGGGCATGCCTGAACAACCGAGAGCTTCCCAGTGCGAGGCTGAAGGACACTTCTACAGCCACCACAGAGGACTCTGAATTCATGGCTCTTATATCCAAGTACAAGTTCCACCTGGCGATGGAGAATGCCATCTGCCGTGACTACATGACGGAGAAGCTTTGGCGGCCGATGCACGTCGGAGCCGTTCCTATATATCGAGGCTCCCCATCTGTACGTGACTGGATGCCGGACAATCATTCCATCATCCTCATTGATGACTTTGAGAGCCCCAAAGAGCTAGCAGAATACATTAATTTTCTGGACAGGAATCCGGAGAAGTATTTGGAATACCTGAAGTACAAGAGTCCCGGCGGCATTACGAACCGGTTCTTGGTGGAGAGCATGGAGAGGCGGGAATGGGGAGTGAATGATATGACCCGGCCTAATTATTTGAACGGGTTCGAGTGCTATGTCTGTGACAAGGTAAATGCCAGAATGAAGGCGGAGGAGGAGCATAGGAAGTCTCGTGGGAAAGTGCCGCCCCCTGAGCCTGAAATCGCCCAGTTCTCACACATGGGGTGCCCGCCACCAGCACCCGGGTATGGAAATATCGAAGACATTCCTGATGGAGACAGGTACTAGCCGTTGTTGTGGAATATGCAGCTGTCCTTACGAAAGCTGAGGGTTGTGCGGTGCTAAGTTGAAGTTTCTTGCTCTGCTGGTGTTTTGGATTGATTTGGATTGATTACATTTCTGCACTGTGCGTTTCATTCAGATAAACTCTAAAGCGACTTACAAACAATAAATAATAAGAACAGGGGTCACCTGGGCTGGTTCACTTCAGTGGAGATTGCTCTGTGGGCTGGATCGTGCGTGCACATGAGCAGCGTGCCCGCAATTTCCTTCATCTGCTGTGCAGATGCGATTTCCGGCGCCGCAGGAGCAAGCCCCGTGTTGCGCTGTGCCGGTTTAGCGCAGCATGTGGGGACTTGCCGAGCGGGCGGCTCAGTTTGGGGGCAGCTCGAGGGCTAGTTAAATACCCCCCCCCCGGGCCGCTTGTGGCCCATGGGTTGCCGACCCCTGAATAAGAACATGATAGAGCATAAAAGAACATCACAAATACAGCATAAACAGTACAGAATAATTAATAAAACATCAGTGAAACAACTGCAACCTATCAAACACAGGGAACAAAGCGACAGCTAAAAAATAAGCTAAACATTGCAATTAAAGCAAAAGTCATAACCTATAAAGCATTTATAACCTATAAAGCAAAATAAACCACCTTAAAACAGCAGCCAAAAAATGAACTAAGCACACACACATTCTCCACACCCGCATGACTCATAATCTTCCACTCTGTTCAGCTCATTAAAATATACATCCACATAATGCAGCAACTCCCTTCTGAAGGTTCCTCGGGCTGGCGGTGGGGCAGTACAGGTGAAACTAACCACCCCCTGATGGCAGACAAACTTTTTCTCCCCTCACAATTCTCCCTCTGAAACAGCTCCCTTATGAAGGGAGGGTGGGGCAAGGCAGGTGGGAAAAGCCATTACCTGCCGGCCAACACAGAAAGTTGTGCAAGAGAATGTGTTAGAACCCAGAAGTGACTCGGAAACGTCCTAAAGATGTCACTAAAACGTCACTTAAGGGGCATTTGCAGGCTTTTCTAGTGGGTTTCTCCGCACTCATTTTCTTTATTTGCTTTTTAGCTGGAAGGAGATGTGGCTGCAGGATTACTGGCAGAGCCTTGATCAGGCTGAAGCCCTCACAGCCATGATTCACCACAACGAGTCGCATCAGGGGAGATTCTGGGACTACATGCACCAAGTCTTCATGAAGAGAACCCAGCAAAACTAACCAGACTTGTTATTCAAGCTTCTTCAGTGTTAAGAGAGGCAAGCAGGGCATCCACAGATTTACCAGCACCGAAATTGCGGTTCCAGGACAACTTGGAAATCATCTTTTATATATGGTATTCTCACTTTGGAGATTACTTTTTTTTAAAAAAAATTCTTGCTTCCAAGAAAAGGCCAATTTTGAACCAACTTTTGGTATTGGTTCATTTGCCACTACTCCAAGACGAGGAAGCCTCCCTGATCTGTGGGGCAAAGAAAAGTATTCAGCATTTCTGCTGCTTCAGCGTCTCTCAGAAAGTACTTTTTGGTGTGTATGTGCCAAATTCCTCAACACGGACTGTTGGGCTTACTGTAAAAGTCCTGAATGGTTGCACTTCAGGGATACCTCCATTCATAAGTATTCATCAACATACATTGGTTTCTTTAATATTTTTGATATATTTCATTTAATATGAAAGAGAGCAGAACAGGAGTTTACATGAGTTTACACTCAGCTATGCAGTATTCAAATAACCACTTCTCTATGGGCTGAAATATATTATGAACTATGCACCTTATTGTAGTGCATTTCCTCAATTTGTAGAGACTACACAGTTGCTCACTGTTCCCCTGGTGATGTGACGGGTGCAAGCCAGCAGTAAATCACACTGAGCAAGTTGGAGTTAACTCTTTATTAGCAAAAGCAGAATCTGGGAGTGTCAGGCCTAGTGAGCAAAGCAACCTATCTTCGGTAGATCTCGCCCCATGGATCAGTTGCTGAAACTGAAAGTCCCCGCGTTCTCACAGCTGCCTCAGTGTTAGAAACAGAGATATGAAATCTGGGAGCTAAATGACGCCCTAAACCTAGGTTATGGGTGCCACAACGGAATGCTGACTACAAAGCTGTAAATGAATGAATTGCAGCTAAAATCTTACGTTCGTTTTTCACATGGTCTAGTCCTCATCTGAAGATGGCAAAAAGCAAAGCTATGCTTCTCCCGCCCTCTCCCTTCATAGTCGTATTGAGGGTCCCTCAAAACGCTGCCTTTCTGGAAGGCCAGCGGAGACGCAGAACCTATCAGCTTGCCTGATAGTGCAATCCTTTCTTGGAAGTCAAGCGGGCAGGAATTTCTCCTCCCATGCCCTCAGTGCCAGCAGTGGCGGTTTTAATCTGAAATCTTGGGTGCAGTACTGCGCCCAGAGCTCAGAAATTGCTTGCACTAATGACATTCCCAGTTGCAAAATGTGCCTAGAACAATGGGAGTTTTGAACGCTGAGCTGCCCAAGTTCCCCTCCTTTTCAGTGTTTTCCCCAAGCAATCAGACTGTGCCTGCGTGAAGCCAATTTCTTTCTCCTTTTCATGCCTCCTGGTTCTGGGAGACCGGCGGGAAAGGAGCTTGTTGCAGCAGGAGGGGGAGACACCTGTGCCTCTTCCCCGGCCAGACTCCTCTCTCCTTCTTGGCCTCTGTCCTCTTCTGCCTCTGATGCGGGACTTCTCTCTGCCACAGACTCTTCCTGCTCACCAAACCCTGTCACCTCTTCAGTTTCTTCCACCTCCACCTCCCATTCCTTTCCCTCCCCTCCCTCTGACCACTCACTGTCACCCCACCACCAATTGCTGGGCTCTGAGCCTTCTTTCCTTGGGGTTCCCCAGCCAGTTCCATCATTCCTCTGTGTCCATGACATGGTGGTTTTATTAGGCTGGTAATGACAGGTAGCTTGATGCGGCAAAGGAATTGGAGTTAGGAACAATGGACAATTTGTGCTGATTTCCGTTAGTTTTGTTTTGTTTGTTTTTTAAAATACAGTGGTATATACAGACACTTCAGGTTACAGCCGCTTCAGGTTGCAGACTCCGCTAACCCAGAAATAATCCCGTGGGTTAAGAACTTTGCTTCAGGATGAGAACATAAATTGCGCGGTGGCAGTGGGAGGCCCCATTAGCTAAAGTGGTACCTCAGGTTAAGAACAATTTCAGGTTAAGAACAGACCTCCAGAACGAATTAAGTTCTTAACCCGAGGTACCACTGTAATAATTAAAGTTTATTGACAAACGCATACAGAATACAATAGAAATGATGAATGTGGCTAATAGCAAGAAATGTGAAAGGAGAAAAATAAAACACAGGTGCAGAGGAGGGGTAAAAGCCAAGAACCTACTGGGAATACAGTGCCACATTCAATTGTTGCATATGAGAAATAAAAATTGGGTCAATGTACTTGTCTGTAGAGCAGGGGGGTTAGTGGGCTGTTGAGTTTGCATAGGAGAGAAACTTTAACCATATTGAGTGAAAAAGACCCATTCTCGATGAACCATTAGTGACTCTGTTAATATGCCAGGTGTTCTAACAATACAATGTCCCATACTTTCGCTAACTACACCTCCTAGGAAGGAGGTAGTGTCGACTTCCAATGGGCAGCCCCTGTCAATCTGGCTGCAGCAAGAATGCTTCGTCCTTCAGTTTAATAAAAGTATTGTCCCCTCCCAACATTTTTCTGTTCACAGGGGTACATTTCTGTTTACAGAATTAAAAAGGCTACGCAGTGGATTGTTGGAAGTACATTCAAGTCCAGTTTTTGTACTTGTATGGGTCAAGATGTGTTGCAACACTAGTTTTAACCAAGTCTGTTCTTCCTTTACCCTTAAAACTCACGCTGTGTGCAAATGTAGCTCTTCAATAAGAGGCATACAAACGTGATATTTTTTCTTTATCCAGATACTTGGGATCCAGCACAATTTTCTGTCTCCAGGTAGTAGAGAACAGATGCTATGTGTCGTAGGTATGACTAGTCACCTGCTGGACAGAAATCATGGGGGTGCATATGGCACAAGGGCCCCCGGCCTTCAGCAAACATTCCCTGGAGACCAAGGTGGCTGGCTGACCTGTCCTGTGGAATGCCATCCCATCAGACGTCAAAGAGATGAGTAACTACATAACCTTTAGAGGTCATCTGAAGGCAGCCCTGAATTGGGAATCTTTTTAATGTGTAATTTTTTATTATGTTTTTATATGTGTTGGAAGCCACCCAGAGTGGCCATGTCAACCAGTCTGATGGGGGGGTGTGTGTTACAAATAATAAATTGTTATTGTTCTGAAAGGATACCCTGAATAATCCAAAGGGAAATGATGGTGATTGTTCAGTACCATAGGGTGGGTTTCCACTGCCCTCCCCCCACAAAGGAATAAACAAAAGCATTTCTTTTTCTGAACATAAAATCATGCTCAGTGCATTTTTGTTATCACAGCGTAATGCAAATCGGGGCTGCAAAAATGAAAGATGAGTAACTGCGGTACTTGCCATGCTTATGGTCCATAGCCTTGCATGTTGATGGTCTGAAGACCCACCTCTCTTCTCCAAATTGAGGTATCCTCACCTTAGTTAGGCCACCCATTTGGGTTTAACCCTGGAATCTCCCCCTCCCAAAAAATGCTGTGTAGCAGGTCTCTCTGCTGTTTCCTAACCACGAATTGTGCACCACAACATTCCTGTACTCCATGTGTTTTAGCACTCGAGAGCAAGCAATAGTGCCCATGTGCAGCCAATGCCACGCGCTCTCAAGTTTCCTTTTCGGAATGGCTGCACCACAGCTGCTCCTGGCGAGACCCAGTGCATCCCAGCATTTCCAGGATGCACCACTGGGTGAAGCGGGATTGCTAACTGGCTGCGCGGCCTTTTTTCACATTGCTAAGATTAAGATGGGACGCGGGTGGCGCTGTGGGTTAAACCACAGAGCCTAGAACTTGCTGATCAGAAGGTCGGTGGTTCGAATCCCCGCGACATGGTTAGCTCCCGTTGCTCGGTCCCTGCTTCTGCCAACCTAGCAGTTTGAAAGCACGTCAAAGTGCAAGTAGATAAATAGGTACCACTCCAGTGGGAAGGTAAACGGTGTTTCCGTGCGCTGCTCTGGTTCGCCAGAAGTGGCTTAGTCATGCTGGCCACATGACCCGGAAGCTGTACGCTGGATCCCTCGGCCAATAAAGCGAGATGAGCGCCACAACCCCAGAGTCTGTCACGACTGGACCTAATGGTCAGGAGTCCCTTTACCTTTAAGATTAAGATGCCTGGGAAGGTGGAGGTGACAAAAGAACTGGAAGATAAATAATCCCAAAGGGCAGGTAGGAAGTGGGATGCTCCGGGTGTTGACATCACCCTTGTAGAATCACATCCCTGCAAGAAGGGTGGAGGTTTCCCAAGGCAGCCTGAATGTACACATCAGGGCTGAAGCACAAGTTGAATTTGGCTCAAGTTCTCAATTCAGGTCAAAGCTGGTTTTGGCACAAGTGTGAACACCATTGGTAGTGTTTCTTGGGAGAACAGGAATTCCTTACATTGATTTTATTTTTATATATATTTTTATATATATAGTGCATGGAATAAACAGCCTTCCGAGGCCCCACACTAGTGACTCTTCAGGAAAAAGGAGGATCTACCTAGGTGGAAATTGTACTAATTTAAGAAAAACACAGACAATCTAGATGGAGATTCATAATGCAAGAGTCTTAATATCCCTTCGTTTTAGAAGTTGCAAGGATACGTTATCTACCACAGTTGACGTTATTGTTGTTAACTTCTAACACCAGGTGGCACAAGCGAGTTATTTTTGCACTCTCTTCCAATGAGAAATTACAGAGCCAGAGATTTGTTGCAGAAATCAAGACTCCCAATCAGCCAATAAAGAGTAATTGCAAGAGGAAGGAATAAGGAAACCACACCTGGTTTTGAGACTTTGTGACTAGTCTCAAGGCCATACAGGCATCTGAACCCAGGACTCCATCTGATACTCTAACCACATCACACCATTAAAACACAAATTCAAGGTCTAAGAAAGAGTGAAGCTTGGAATTTCTTGGGTTGTAATCTGCTAACTTTTTCTCGGATCAGACCCACTGAACCTAAATTAGTTATGGCCATTAATTTTAATGCATTTACTCTGAGTAAAAAGTAGTTTTATACAACCTTATATTGTCCCATCATTCAACATATATGTAAAAAAAAACACACAGTTCAACTCACCCCCAACTCTGGCTCATGAGGACAGAGGAGCCGCACATTTCAGTGTAAGGAAAAACAGCTTTGGACAAGGCTTGGCCCCCCCTCTTTAGCAGTGCAAAAAAGCACCAGTACATGCATTCAGCTGCTAAAGATGCTCAGTTTGAGTCTCTTCCCATAAATGGGAAGCAGGTGTGCAGAGCTGCTCTGAGGCTCTCAGGAGTCATTGCCCAAGAAATGGACAGGGTTAAGCAGACTGCCACCACGCAGATTAATACCTTCATCGATCTGAGCACAGCATGTTAGAAAAAGTGGCAGGTGGAACTTAACAGGGTTTTGATGGTGTAAATGATGTTTTTCAGCATTCCTGCCTAGGGAGAGGACTTTGCCTTATGCAGCAGAGTCCACCTCCTCTCCCAGAAGGGGAGGGAGAATCTGGTTACCTGCAGAAGTGTGATCTGCAGAACTGGTGCACATGCACCACTATTACTGGTATTTATTAACTTGCTATACTACCCTTCATCTGATCGTAGGGCAGTAGCCAAGTGTCCCTTTCCCCTGCAAAGTCCTGGGACTTGACCTCCACAGTTGTGCATAGATTCTGGTGTAGTCGGTTGCTCCCGCAGATAAACCAAAGTAGCAGATAGAAATGGTTTAAAAGATGAACAACCCCCAGTGAATAAGTACCGTATTTTCCGCTCTATAAGATGCACCAGACCACAAGACGCACCTAGTTTTTGGAGGAGGAAAACAAGAAAAAAAAATTCTGAATCTCAGAAGCCAGAACAACAAGAGGGATCGCTGTGCAGTGAAAGCAGCAATCCCTCTTGCTGTTCTGGCTTCTTGGATAGCTGCGCAGCCTGCATTGCTCCATAAGACGCACACACATTTCCCCTTAGTTTTTAGGAGAGAAAAAGTGAGTCTTATAGAGAAAAAAATACGGTATTTCCTTAGTTTAGGAAGGGCACTGGTCCACGATGCAAGGTAATCAGGAGGTGCTTTAGAAATGAAGGGCTGGGAATTCAAAGGTGGCTGCAGAGCCACACCATCATGTTCTGCAAAGCTTGGTGTGCTACTGGCACACACTGCCTAAAAGCTGAAGAATAAAGACTGAACTGCCCCAAAGCTTCATGAATGTTCAGCAAAAACATCCAAGGATACAAGCTGCACGGTGTACTTTGAAAACACGTTCTTGTACAATATTCACATCATAAAAATAAAAACCTTTATTGATAGTATGAACGTTTAAGGTTTAATGCTGCCAGCTATAAAAATGGTAAAAAGACTTCTGCTTCAGACATTTGACTTTACAAATATACAGATGTTAATGACAATTAATACTAGATTATGCAGTCTGAACTTCATTAAATTCCCATTAGCCAGTGACAAACCTCTCTAGCAACACACGATTCAGAGAAGATTAAACATTATATTCCCATACACACAAGTCTATAGAGAACTTAAAAGACTAACCCTAGAAGTCTCACTGGATTAGCTGGAACCATTTTAATAGTTGTGCTTTGTTTAATCTCAGAAGATAGGCTACTAGCAAAAATACATCTTTCCTCTTGCATTCTCCCTTCCTATAATCCATTGTTGAATACAGTACTCAGTGCATTTCCTAATAAAATTATTGTATATAAATCTCTATCATATCGTAAAGAAAGGATACAAGTTAGTGTAAACACAAGGAAATATTTAAAGGGCTGCTACAAAACCCTCCTGTTTTAAGATTAGAAGAGACGCTGGAAAGAAACCATTCACCCCATTTTCAGCTGCACGGCCCACATCCGGACACTGGGACAGCACAAGCGAGCTGTTCTGTGTGCTTGTCAGAGTTGTTTCCTATCTGCCTGCAAGCAACCAGCAATTACAATTGGCCAGAAAAATGGGAACTGCGGCACACGGATCAAAATTTAAGAGGGATGGGATCATGTGGCAGGACCTCCTATGTCCTCATATGCCTGAGAGCCTGCCCTCAGAAATAACAAGTCAATTGGCAAAAATGCTTCCAGCAGAGCAATAGACCAACTTGCAAGACCAGAGAGTGGCAATTTGAAGCAGCACCAATTATTATTTTTTTTAAAAAAGTATTCAAGAGCTTTGGTCCAGTGAAGGAATAGGACAAGCTTCTCCCCCCTCCAAGGGCCGCATTCCCTCAGAGGAAACTGACGGAGGGCCGTGGGAGCTAGACACAGGGTTGGACAGGGCCAGAACTGCAGGTCCTCAGCACACCCCATGCTGTTTCTCTTGCCCCAAAGATTGGAGAGTGAGATGTGTGAGATGGCTGTCAAACAAAACAGTAACCGTCTCTCCCCTCAAAAAACACACAGACACGGCCCTTTGGAAAGTGCTTTTCCTGCCGACAGAGGGAAAGGCTTTTGCAGGTACCAATGGGGCAGGATCTGCACCTGCAAAGCTCCCCCTGGTCAGGTGGGGAGCGTGTCCAAGGTGGAGGCTGTGAGGAGCAGGAAGAGGAGAGCCACACGCGTCTCGCAACATGACACCTGCTGGTCCTCATGTAAAAACAGCAACATTATATTACATTTTTAAAATGTTTATTTGTGCAGATTGATTCTAGGGGAAATGGCGAAATGTGTTAAGGTCAGTGTATTCGGAAGCTTGACCACACACTCCTGCAATATCTCAGGGCCAAGCAGCCTGGCACCATTTGAGACAGGAGCCAGACACATGGCTTGCGAGGGTCAAAGGCGTAAGACATGTACAGTACAGGGAGCTTCTTCATTAGAACGAAGACTTCTTCAGTCCTGTATCTGCCCCATGTCACTAACCATCTTTACTAGGGGAAAAGTTCTCAGACGTAGGGGATATAAAGCTTAAGAACAGCTTCCTCGTGGGTTGAATCCAACGCCGTGCCGCTGTTTAAGTGGGACACACTTCACTCTTCCTCCTACCCCACCCCACTGCCCTCCATGCACTCTCAAAACCTGGAGAGTTTGCAGCCCTTCGGGAGAAATTCTGGGGATGGAGGGAAGAGAGAAAGGTCAGGTCCCAGCGTGCAAGCAGTGTTGGATTTCACCCTGTAAGTGTAGTTCCTCGTTCCTTTTTCTTTTTTGAGATATGAAGAATTTCAACGATATCATCAAACCAAGATTAAATGAGTTGTGTGCACTACCTGAAGACTCCCCTCATTTCCCACATATATATGCATCTATACGTGAAACATAATAATAATGATTTGGTTTCCACAGCGCTGCCAGGGAGGTTGGGCTGCCTTCTCTCAGCAAGCGCCCCTTAGGCAGCAAGACCGATGTCAGCTCAACATACAGGATTACTGCGGCATGAGCACGTTTTAAGTTATTGCTTTGGATCGTCTAGTATGGATCCCTATCCTTCCAATGCAAAAACCTGTATAGAATTGACTAACCATTTCTCATTTCAAGTAAAGTTAAAGATCTTTATCAAATAACAAGATCCCGCTCTCAGAAGTTCTACACACACACACACACAACAGTAGACTATGTGAAGAATATTAAAAGCTAGCTTTCAAGATTTAATCTCGCCTATTTTATCTCTCTGCGCAAGAGAAAAATGCAAGGAATGGATACTTGACTGGGAAAAAGAAAACCCAAACAAACTGGCACCCTGATTGTTTAAAGCTCCCAAAGTGTTTTTAAAGAAAGGTTATGTCATCAGAAAGGCCTGGGATGCCTAAAGCTCAGCAACAGGGGCCAAAGTGCTCCTGACACAGCAGCTACATGGACTGACTTGGTTCATAGCAGGGAAACAACTGACCGACTCTAGCGGTCACCTTTGGAACATTCCCCTTCTGTAGTGTACTGCGAACTGGAAAGGATTAAGAACAGTGTTGATTTCAACATTCATGATTCAGAGAGGAAACTGCTTTCTGCAGTTGGACGATCCCTTCTGGGATTTGCAGAGAATCACATTCATATCTGCAGGCTTAAGCTCAGGCACTTCTTAGAAAATGTCTGTCTGGAATGGAAGTTTGCATGGAGTGTTGTGTTTTTTTCTGCATAATTTAAAAATGAGTATTCCGTCGTCATAGTCCGCTGGTCCGCTCCCAGCATCAGGAATTCACCGCATCTCTCCGTCTCTTTTTCTCTCTCTGTTTGATGTGCCTGCCTGCTGCTATGAGAGACCTTGAGGCTCTAGTGTTTAAGAAAGGTCTGTACACAAGTCGTGCTATTTTCTACACGCTATAAAATAAAAGGAAAAGGACACTAAGTGTGTTATACAAACAGATTTTTGTTACTACCCAAATAATAAATAACATGGAGTGGCTAAGACAGTGTTTCAGCTCTAGGAATTGCAAACGCTCGGATTGCAGCTCTTTCTGGAGACTAGCTGTTGGCTGGCAGTAAGATCTCAATTTCCTTCCCGTTGGCCACCACGGCATTGATTGAGCAGCTGCTCACCAAGTCCGCAGGGGAACCCAGAGAAGGTGCCTGAGAAGAGGTCTTCGTCGGTGGAGTGTGGCTGGCTGGAGAAGGAGCCAGCCCAGGTTTCTTTGGAGGAATCGGCGGAGGGTTCCCTCTTTCGGCTCTGGGTATGGTTGGCGATTTAATGCCAGGCGAGAGCGGGCTGGAGACTTTGCCTGGGCTCGACTCGCTTTTGGGGCTCATGGCGCTGGCCAGGGTCCGGTAGTCCGTGCCAAAGGGGGAGCTGTTGGGCGAGACGGGCTTGATAGGACCCTGCTGGCTGGTGAACCTGGAGAGGACCTGAGTAACAGTGTTGCGAGCAAGCTGCTTGGCGGCCGAGTTGTCAACGAGGGTAGGCGACAGGTCCCTGGACGGAGGGCTTTGGAGACCGCTCGACGGGTGGTCCTGGTCAGCTTGGGACTGGAATTTGTGGCGAGCAGCGTGGAAGCGCTGGTTGATGCCCACCTGGTAAGAAGACTGGTAACTGGGGCTGCTGGCCAAGGCTCCAACCAAGCGCTTAGTCATCACTGGGGAGGAGCACGGGGAGGATGTCAGCGAGGAAGAGGCGGTGTTGCTCGGAGACAAGGAGATCCCACTGGAAGGCAGCGGCGGGATGGATGGGGAAAGAGACTCTGTCCTCACCGGGGAGCTGCTGTTTTCGGTGGGACCCTCAGCAGTGGACCCGGCAGGCTTGTTCTTCTCCAGATTCTCCATGCTGGGCTGGGCTGGCTCCACGCTTGCTTGTGCATCAACCTCACAGTGCCCATTTGCCTTGGCATAAGAGTGGGGGGCCGTGGCAGCAACAGGCGAGAGGGCACGTGCCAGTTTGATGGTGCTTCCCTGGCTCTCCTTCAAGGGGCTTTCTGTCTGGCAAGCGACGGACCGATATGGGTCTTCTGTGACGGTCGCAATGGACACCTTGGCGACACTTGGTGGAGGGTTCTCTGCTTTGCAGGAAGCCTCCAGCTCCTTGAGGGTCTGCTTCAGCTGCTCCACTTCTTCCTTCAGGGCCTTGGTGCGGTTCTCTTCCCGGTTCAGCTTGGCTCTCAGCTGCTCCCGCTCGATGTCGAACTCAGAGAGTTGCTTCTCGACCTGGGCCTCCATCTGCAAGCCCCTCTTCTTCTTGGCTGCCAGCTCCTCCTCCAGCTGGCTCACTTTGCTCCTCTCCTTCTCCAGCTTCCCGCTCAGCTCCCCCAGCTTCTGCCCCTCCTCCGCAGCCTTGGCGGCGGCTTTCTTGCACTCCAGCACCAGCATGGAGGAGAGCTGCTTGTGATGGGCGTGCTCCTCCTCCAGCTGACTCGAGAGCTTCTTCTGCTCCCTTTCAAACTTCTTCACCTGGGACTTCTCAAATTCCAGCTGGAAGGGAAGAGAAAGAGGCTTAGGGGAAGGAGGGGACCATGTTTGGCTTCTCAAACACTCTCCACAAACAGAAAGACCCTCAAAGCCAGTTGTGTCAGTTAACGAGGGGAGAACGAGTGCAAGAAAAACAAAGGTCTTTCTTGTGAAAATTCTGTCCTCCCGGGCTGACAGGTGTCTAAATCAACGGAAGATGATTTAGACACCTGTATAATAATAATAATTTATTTAATAATTTATCATTTGTACCCTGCCCATCTGGCTGGGTTTCCCCATTCACTCTGGGCTGCTTCCAAGAGAACACTAAAATACAATAACCTATTAAATATTTAAAAACTTCCCTAAACAGGGCTGCCTTCAGATGTCTTCTAAAAGTCTGGTAGTTGTTCTTCTCTTTGACATCTGGTGGGAGGGAGTTCCACAGGGAGGGCGCCACCACCAAGAAGGATCTCTGCCTGGTTCCCTGTAACTTGGCTTCTCTCAGTGAGGGAACTGCCAGAAGGCCCTTGGCTCTGGACCTCAGTGTCCGGGTAGAACGATGGAGGTGGAGACACTCCTTCAGGTATACTGGACCGAGGCCATTTAGGGCTTTAAAGGTCAGCACCAACACTCTGAATCGTGCTCGGAAACGTACTGGGAGCCAGTTTAGGTCTTTCAAGACCGGTGTTATATGGTCTCGGCACCAGCTCCCAGTCACCAGTCTAATTGTTGAGTACATAATGTAGGTCGGGAGTGGGCACTTCCTGCAAACTGAGGGCCACATTCTTGTAGGTTAACAGTGTAAGAGACTTCCTACTTGCAGTAGGTAGGGGTGGAGTCAAAAATCCATTCATCCTATCACACAAACACAAACCTGTTCCCACTGTGCGACTGCAATTTGAAATGGGGGGAGGGGGAATCCCCTCCCCTCCAGGCAAATGGTAGGCATTGAGCCTCCAGTCCAGAATGGGACCAGGGGTGGGCTTTTAAACTTTGCTCCCACTGCAGTCCTGATCTTAACTGCCACAGCCATTGGCACTGGGGGAAAATTCAACTGACCCCCGTTTCTTCCCATGGGCAAACAGAAGAGGGGAGAGAAGACAATCATATTTTCACTACCACTAAAATGCACAGGGTATATCAAATTTCATAAGCTGCATTTCCTTTTATCCTCAAATGTTATTTTAAAAGACCTATATTGGCTCCCAGTATGTTTCCGAGCACAATTCAAAGTGTTGGTGTTGACCTTTAAAGCCCTAAACGGCCTCGGTCCAGTATACCTGAAGGAGCGTCTCCACCTCCATCGTTCTGCCCGGGCACTGAGGTCCAGCACCGAGGGCCTTCTGGAGGTTCCCTCATTGCGAAAAGCAAAGCTACAGGGAACCAGGCAGAGGGCCTTCTCAGTGGTGGCACCCGCCCTGTGGAACGCCCTCCCACCAGATGTCAAGGCAATAAACAACTACCAGACTTTTAGAAGACAACTGAAGGCAGCCCTGTTCAGTGAAGTTTTTAATGTGTGACATTTTAATGTATTTTTAATCTTTGTTGGAAGCCGCCCAGAGTGCCTGGGGAAACCCAGCCAGATGGGTGGGGTACAAATAGTAAATTAATAATAATAACGTGGGTGGCGCTGTGGGTAAAACCACAGTGCCTAGGACTTGCCGATCTTATGGTCGGTGGTTCGAATCCCCGCGGTGGGATGAACTCCCGTCTTTCGGTCCCAGCTCCTGCCCACCTAGCAGTTTGAAAGCACCCTTAAAGTGCAAGTAGATAAATAGGTACCGCTTTATAGCGGGAAGGTAAACGGCGTTCCGTGTGCTGCGCTGGTGCAGGCTCGCCAGAGCAGCGATGTCACACTGGCCACATGACCCGGAAGTGTCTGCGGACAGCGCTGGCTCCCGGCCTCTAGAGTGAGATGAGCGCACAACCCTAGAGTCTGTCAAGACTGGCCCGTACGGGCAGGGGTACCTTTACCTTTTTACTACTACTACATCTCTTTGCTTCTTTATGTGTTCCTACAAAGACCAAAACTGACTGGCCTCTGCAATGGAGCAAAAACTCTCCCTCTTAGTAAGTCTCCTTCCATGTTTGCAGGGGGAGAACCAAGTCTCGGAGACAGAAATACTGGTGCTGGCTGCTGGTCTCCTCACCCACGCAAGGCAAGTTTTCTGTGTTAAACAGCAATTAATCACTCCTCCCTGAACGCTGAGTAAGGAGTGAGAGGGTATACCTGTTGGGTGAGCCGCTCTCGCTCCTTTTCCAGCATGTACGTGACATCATCCCCCTCAGCAGTATCTTGGGCGTGCCTCTGCCTCTCTTCCTCAAGATCCAAGATTACCTTTCAAAAGAGAAAAGAACACCATCCATCACCTTGAAAGACAGCAATAATTACAAGTGTATCCAGATGTGCAGGCCAGGTCCCTTTCTGCCGAAAGCAAAAATGAAAGCTCTAATGAAGGCATGCAGAACCCCTGACCTTTACTTACGTGTAAGGGTTCTGAGAAACTAGACTATCAACCCACCCCCGTCTATTTTCGGCAATTTTCAAGGTTTGTCCTCTTTCGGCTTGTGAAAGAAATGACAAAAACATGCAGAAAGAACAGCAACAGACACGCACATAGTGACACTTTGTTGAAATAATTTGCTGAACAATTCTGAAAACCTGAATCAGTTGTTATATGAATTTGAGCCCAGCAGAAGAAAACCTAAACAGATGGACAAAAACAGACGCTCAGAAGAATGAAAGTCTTCAGGATGCTGACTGGGTCAAAAATGAAATTTGTACAAATATAGTTTTGTTGTGTGTTAATTTAGAGAGACAACTGTTTCAGTCACTAGCAGCACAAAAACCAGGGAGAGAAAATGAGGAATCTTGTAGCACTTCGAACAACTCTACCTCAAGTGCTTTAAAACCTGCTTTGAGCAGCATTTGGTAACAGCTGGGAGCTGGAGATTGTTTCCAGCCCATTCCAAGAGAATCATGGTGCATGAAAGAGCTTTGACCGCTAGAGTCGGTCAGTTGTTCCCCTGCTATGAACCAAGTCAGTGTGGCTGAGGGTGCCTTTGGTCCACAGGCCTGAGCTTCCCCACCCCTGAGCTAGATCATCTTTAATCAATTCTGAGAAGTTCCCTGTGGTTCCAATAGCAGCATCAATAGTAAAAATCACAACACGTTTGTGTTTTATTATCTGAAGAGTGCTAGTTAGAGGCATCATATAGAGGATGTTAGCCCTGCAACGTGATTTGACTGAACATAAGCAACATTTGAGACACAGAAATGTGCAAAACAGCAATGAAAATGTCACATCAAATTATAAAAGTGGTCCAATATGTAATGTTAACCTGTTACGCAGTATCTTTCTTTCTCTTTTCCCCTTCCCTCCCTCCCACCTCATGAAACCCACCTTTCGATGCCTGCTCTCTGCAGCTGCAAGCTGGGACAACATTTTTTCCTGCATATTCTTGCAGTGTTTCATCACAACCTTCAGGATGGACAAGGGATTGGCACAAACGGGCTGCTTATCGCCATGGTTCTCTTCCTTCAGCGCCTCAAAATCCCTCTGAAGAGCCATCAGCGGATCACTAATGTTGAATTTTCCATAGCGCTCTTCAATGAAAGCATCTCTGCGCTGGGCCTGAAACACATTATCAGGTTTTTCACATTGTTAGCTACCAAAGAAAAGGAAAAAGAGAACCCTCAAGATAAAATCCTCATGGAAACAGGAGTCATGAAAGGCTGGTCGGAGTAAAAAACCAGCATAATGACCAGCTGAGATGCACAAATGGGGGACAAAGGACATTCTAGAGGCCCCGACAAACAATAGGGGGACTTTAACCCCCCAAAGGAGAGTCACTTATGACAACATTGCAGTGCTTACGGTGGTTATCATAGGAGCCAATTCCTAGAGGCCGAGGGGTCTTTGCCCCCCCAAATATTTTAGCCCCCCGCCAAGTTAATGTACATTATTATTCAAATGGTGTGCATGCACTGCGTCATGTGATCAATTATGTGGTGCGGGGATCACCTGCCCCACTCAATATTTTATTCAAGTTGGCACCCTGGTAGTTATTGCTTATAACAACAACATATTTTTATAAGTACAGTGGTACCTCGGGTTACATATGCTTCAGGTTACATAGGCTTCAGGTTACAGGCTTCGCTAACCCAGAAATATTACCTTGAGTTAAGAACTTTGCTTCGGGATGAGAACAGAAATTGTGCTCCGGCGGCACGGCAGCAGCTGGAGGCCCCATTAGCTAAAGTGGTGCTTCAGGTTAAGAACAGTTTCAGGTTAAGAATGGACCTCTGGAACAAATTAAGTACTTAACCCGAGGTACCACTGTAGGTGGTTCCTTCTATTAGGATAGACTGAATGGATCCGAAGAGGGGAGGGAAGCTGTAAAGGACCACCAGGGACTGCCACCCCTCTGAGCTTTCCCCTTTTGTGCAGAGGCAGGATCAGGGCCCCAGTCAGTAGGGCTTGCTGTCAGAGAATGGCTGGGAGGCAAGCCTGCAGTCAGAAGAGGCCTGTTATTCCTCCTCCCTGTTGTGCGGCCCTGATACAACAGATAAGGAAGAGTTACGGACTCATTGTTAAAACCGTCTTACTTGGCTACGAGTGATCGCCAAAGAAGAAGGAGGGGAGATGCACAACTGTTGAAAACTAGGCTTTCCTTTGGTGCTGGCATTAACCTTTTTTTTAATAAAAAAAAAAAGCACTGTGTCTGGGTCCATCTGACAAACCACAATGCACAGGGGCTCTTGCCTCAGAACACAATGTTATGTGTGATACTGAAATTAATACCTTATTACAAGCCGCAAAGGAGAGCAGAAACCTGATCAGTATCCTTCCCTCCAGCCATGATTTGCACCATCATTAACTGCAGCTATCAATTTACACCATCGCTTTTCCCAGCAGGAAATCATTTGCAGGAAAAGGAAGCCCAGCTTCCAAATGCAGAGGTCTGTGGTTGTTTTAATTACTGCCAAAAAAGAAATTCCCAAGATCAGCACAAAGGAACCCTTTCAACCGAAGAACCAAGGGTCATACACATCCCTATGACCCCTTTGTGTTAGCTTACGATGACTGATGAACACATCAAGGCTGGGCAGTCGCTGGCTGGACAGCCTGCTTCCTCTTCCATTGTTGGCAACCCTGGGCTAACAGATTACAAATGCACACAGGGATCTATTTATAAACTACAATGTAGTAAAGCGGACTTGATAATGGGTCACAAAAGAGTCCAGGATTTGCTTTAGATCTGGGCATTTGAAAGGGATTAAATTTCTCCAAGCAGTGGGGTTCAGCAATTTTACAAACAAGAGTGGCTGGGGAAACCCCGCGAGATGGGCAGGGTATAAATAATAAATAATAAATTATTATTATTATTATTATTATTATGATTATTATTTAGGCGGTATCTCCTCTTGCGATGTAAGAAGGCATCACTTTTCGTTCTGCCCTGCATTTGCCACTTGCAACATTGTTTCCATTCCACTACAATGCGTCTTCCACCAAAAATGGCATTATTTGCCTCACTGTCCACTGTGGTGAATTCTGTAACAATTCACATTAAGTAATCATGCAAATTACACTGTCACCACAGTTTTCTACCCAGGTCATATCAATGCAAAGGGAATGCAATGCAAATGAAGGGTAGGACCATGATCAACTACATATTGTCTGTGGACTGAATGCAACAACAATGAATCTTATTCACTGGGTTGATTTCCCTTCTAGATATGGGACGAATAAATGAACAGCAATTTCTGCTCCTATTTCCATTTCTCTGTCTTTCCTACTCTTCTCCCCTAATTTCTACCAAACACTCACAACCGGCAGGAGTAGACAGTAGGAAGCTGCAGGGCAGGGTAGCTGGGTTTGAGAACTCATTTTATGGTAATGACAAATATATTGTCTTTTAGAAATCAAGCCTCCCTTGGAAACTCATCAGACCACTAGGCTAGCTCACAGAGAATGGACCACTCCTCCATACAGGAAGTCAAACAGAGCTGATGGAAGTCCTGACTTCTGTGTGACCTGTTTTCTTGTGCATTTCCTTTTCAAATTGCTCCTGAACCCTGTCTCTCACTTTAGAGATTCTGGAGTTAGTCTGCAGGAAAAGTTAAGCCCCATGGCTGGCATAACTGGGGGTGAAGTGGGCTGAAACGTTTTGGAGAGAGGCTGGGAGGTGACTTTGACCCCCACCTGAAACCCCGGAGAGCACTACCAGTCAGAGTAGACATTACTAGGCTAGACGGATCAGTGATCTAACTTGGTATATAAGGCAGCTTTTTATGTTCTGCTCCTGCTACTGGATGGCACAACAAAAGACTGCCACTTACATAAAGGTTTCTTGACTTGGCAAGGCATATTTGACAGGTTAGTCTTTGCTCTCTCGACTCCATATGCAAAACAATTATAGACTGGGGGGGGGGGTTGTCTTTTACGTCACTTTGCTCAACAATATCACCCCACTGGCATTGTATGTTCTGGCTCAAAGCTGCTTCGTACATTTACTGGTACACGTCAGACAGTTCCACTTCTGGCATTTTAGCTGTAGTGGATCTGTCAAGAATGTGCTAAAACGAAACAGTGAAGCAGCCCTCCGTCTGAAGGCTAATGGAAAATTTTTGCTCTCCTGACTGTTCTGGGAAATCCATCCCAGAGTCTCCTTCCTTGTTCAAGGCACATAAAAGCTCTCGGCGCACAAAACAAGTCCCAGTTTACCGAGTGAATCACATGTTCTGAACCACAGACACCACCACTGTCCCACTCTGGGATGAGAACACTGATACCCATTTAGAACTACTGAGCAGAGAACAACAAGGCATTTCATGAATCGCTTCTACAACTGGAGAGGAAAAACACCCCAGGAAATTTAAGAAGTGGAATGGTGCTTGCCTAATCTCAGTCCACACAAATACGAAATGAAAGAGCAGTGCCACTTCACTTAACGACTGTTCAGTAAATGTAATGCCAGTCTGGAGAGCGAGACTGCTGATCTACCACATATTCATCGCTGTGAGGATTGAAGCATGCGGAAGAGTAATCCTACAGAGAATCCGAGATTAATTTATACAAAAGCAGCAAAGTAATTCTCTCCTGCTACTATTTGTCTCTTCAAAATCTGTTCTTAACTAGCTTAAGAAGAGCGCCAAACCGGTATGGTTTGCATACTCCCAACACAGCTTATAATGTCATTTCAAATAAGCCTGACCTGATTAAGTTTTGACTACAGTAAACCTAATGAGATGGGGCAAAGCTATTCAGAAAAGAACAGCCCTTCAAAGGTAAGCTTCTGGGATCCAGAAAAACCAGAGACTGTATTCTGTTCAAAACTTCTAGTCACTTACACAAGGTAGATGCTTTAAAGGTTTTTAAAGGACACAGCCACTGTGAATGCCCATGTTTCTCGTGGTACAGGGGCTCTCCCCCTGATGAGCTGATCGGTAAAAGCCTGATCAAGTACAGAGGTTATTTGCATCAGAAAAAGAATTCACAAACAGCATTTATGGCAGGGAAACGAAAACATTTGGAAATAGTCATGTTTTCCCAGCTGTTTAGGATTACTGTAAACATCAAAAAGGAAATAGGAAAAAGAACAGTAAACAAAAATACTGAAATATATACAGGGGCTGAAATTGAAAGTACACCAAGGTAACAACAACAAAATTACAGGTGGATTTCTGACTGAATCAGTGACTGCAACAAGGGGCTGTATTATTTACTTGCTTTCAGGTAAGAAGGCACAACAGTTCTCAAAATTGAAGGGTAAATGTTTAACAACCTGGTTATCAAGGCCTCTTGAGAATGTAAATCAGCCTTTCATCCTTTCTAGGTGGGAGTTAGCAAAGACCTCCTGCAAAGAAAATTCCCCAGATGGTTTCAGATCCACTTCTGAAAGGTCAAGTAATCTTGAGACACATTTTCTTAAGAAAACAGGGCACTTCTGAGAAGTATTACAGCCCCAGAAGAGGCTTGCATATCCAGATACATGCGAAGAGAATTAGAGAAGAACTGGAGCAGGAATGAAACGTTTTTCTTCTACCACCAAATAGCAAGAGCAGCTCCTTTAAGCAAAACTATTCCTAATGTTTATTGTTCACAAAGCACCTTGGGGGTCATGTGGTTAAAAAAATGTAGGCTTTCTTGACAGAGCAATCTTGTCTCCTGCAAGCCTAACAAGGGAGCTGTGCTGTGATTGCGCACGCACTAGACATCTGGGGATCTTTATGAACACAAACACATGGTTAAGCCATACCAAATTAAGTACAGTAGCCCTTTCAGCATCAATAAAGACTTTAATTTTAAACAGTAGCCCTATAAAGCAAGAGCTCTGCTGAGTCTGTTAAACAACATACAGCTGTCAAAACGAGCAAGCTAACCATTTGTATTAGAGAAGGCAATTATGTCCTTTCTACAATCTGTAACATATTGTTTCAGGAGCAATTTCACAGAATGAGCCACTGTTGGGCAGAAATGATTCAGGGATGCCCCAAGATACTTGTTTATTGTCATAAAATGTATACACCACTAGACTGAGGTTTATTTACAATAAAGATGAAACTATATAATTATCACTTAGAAAATTAACAACAATAATTTAAGATTTTCAAAAAGTTAAAACAACAATAGACAAATGCAGATTAAAACTTGCATCAACTTTCTGAACATCTGGGTAGGATCTGGTCTGAAGGCCCATGAAGCCAACAGCCTGGACTCCATGATGGTCTAAAAGGTGGGGTAGAAATGTAATATATCATAAATACATCTTGCTGAGATTTTGAAGAAATTATGAGAATTTCCAGCTTGTAAGCATTTTGGACAGGCAGTAAGGATATAGTCCCCCCCCCCTATATATTTTCAATATAGCTGTGTTTTCTTATAAATCCTGCAAGCAATCTCAAAAGTCAAAGACACAAATATAGACTTATGAATAGCCATTGTCCCAGAGCCAGTAGAAAGTCAAAATTACTGTGTGTGTATGTTCATTTTTAACTTTGTCTAGAATTGAAAGAACAACTGTTGACAATAAAAAACTATTTAATTCATGGGTAGCCTTGTTTTGGTTTGGTTTTTTTAAAAAAGAACGCACAGAATTCTATAAGACTAGGAAGATCTTCACCCTTCTGAAATATTGACGTAATTCGTTCAGGAGGACAAATCCTTACAGCCTGGTGAGATTAGGAAAACAGGAAACAGGCCGAATCATGAGATGTGAACTTATTTGGTAAGGTATTATCGTTATTATTTTCATAAAGAATAATCATGCACATTTTGATCCAATAGTCACTTGCTGCATTTCTTATTTAACATGGAACTGTGCACACAAGGCAACCAGTTTGTCCAAATTTGGATGACACAGCAAGTGGCAGTTAATCTAAAACTGGAACAAAAGATTTCCAATTCCTTGCACCCACACTGGGAAGCAAGCTTTGTTCAGTATCTCTGAGACTAATAGATCATTCTTGGCTTGCTTGAAAAAGGAATGCTTGAAAAAGGAATATACTTCTAACTCTATCTAATGTTCTCAAGACCAGGAGGTGTGGGGACACCCTGTCTTGCATGAGGTGGCACACTTCTGGAAGGAGCCGGTCTGTAACTTGTGGGTGCTCCTGGAGCCAACACTGCCACTGGAAGCCACAGTGGCCACGTGTGCCTTTTTCCAGCTACGGCTGGTTCTCTAGCTATGTCCCCTTTTTGACAGAGAAGACTTTGGTACTCCATGTTCAGGTAACGTCCAGTCTGGATTATTGCAATGGGCTGTACATGAGGCTGAAGACTACCTCTAAAACTTCAGCTGGTCCAAATTGCCACAACCAGATTACTGACTGGGATTCCTTTTAGAACTCATATAGCACCTGCTTTAAAATAGTTCCATGGGCTACAAGTTCATGTCTGGGTCCAATTCAAGTGCTCACATTAATGTTTAAAAGGTCTCAAATATTTGAAAGACAGTCAACTTCCCTACAGACCCTTTTGGATCTTAAAGTCAACAGATCTCTTTAGAAGCTTGGAATGGTGCCAGTGGCCCTGGAGAGGGTGTTCTCTGTGGTGGCCCGTAAAGGTAAAGGGACCCCTGACCATTAGGGGTCCGGGTCATGTGGCCAGCATGACTAAGCCGCTTCTGGAGAACCAGAGCAGCGCACGGAAACACTGTTTACCTTCCCGCCAGAGCAGTACCTATTTATCTGCTTGCACTTTGATGTGCTTTCGAACTGCTAGGTTGGCAGGAGCAGGGACCGAGCAACGGGAGCTCAACCCGTCACGGGGATTCGAACCGCCGACCTTCTGATCGGCAAGTCCTAGGCTCTGTGGTTTAACCCACAGCGCCTCCCACGTCCCTGTGGTGGCCCTTAGGTTATGCAATCCGCACCTACAGAGATTCACCTGGCACCTCAATTATAGTTTTTGTCGTATGAAGGTGCATCCTTGTTTAGGCCTCCTGCATCAGCTCTAATGCTCTTTGTCCCACTGCAAGACTATGACTGGCCCAAGATCATTCTCAAAGCTTCATGGCTCAGTGGGGATTTGAACCCTGGTTACCCAGGTCCAGCACTCTAACCACTACACCACACTGATGAAGGCTGTGGGCACATGGCAGCTGGAGTAATGAGCAGAGGAATGGGAAAGATGCCACTGAGTACAGGCCAGTATGGAATTAAGAGGCGCTCAATGCATGAAGCAAGATAATAATAATAATAATAATAATAATAATAATAATAATTTATTATTTGTACCCCGCCCATCTGGCTGGGTTTCCCCAGCCACTCTGGGCGGCTTCCATAGAAACAAAAAATACAGTAAAATATCACAGATTAAAAGCTTCCCTGAACAAGGCTGCCTTAAGATGCCCTCTAAATGTCAGGTAGTTATTTATTGCTTTGACATCTGATGGGAGGGCGTTCCACAGGGCGGGTGCCACTACCGAGAAGGCCCTCTGCCTGGTTCCCTGTAGCTTTGCTTCTCGCAATGAGGGAACCGCCAGAAGGCCCTCGGCGCTGGACCTCAGCGTCCGGGCAGAGTGATGGGGGTGGAGACGCTCCTTCAGGTATACTGGGCCGAGGCCGTTTAGGGCTTAAAGGTCAACACCAACACTTTGAATTGTGCTCGGAAACGTACTGGGAGCCAATGTAGGTCTTTCAAGACCGGGGTTATGTGGTCTCGGCGGCCGCCCCCAGTCACCAGTCTAGCTGCCGCATTCTGTATTAATTGTAGTTTCCGGGTCACCTTCAAAGGTAGCCCCACGTAGAGCGCATTGCAGTAGTCCAAGCGGGAGATAACCAGAGCATACACTTTGAAAGGAAGAAACGGGAAGTTTTGAGGATTTTTGCGCTGCTGTGGGAGAAATGCTTAGCGCTGACTTTTTCTTCTTCTTTTGTATTCCTTGGTTCTTTCTTTACAAAGGGCTTAACCAACTGATTCCTCCTGACCTGCAATATTTCCCACAATTAGCATTTTTGAAGCAAAGAAATAGAGCTCTACTACCCACATTTATTTTCCCATTTTAACATCAAACAAGCAAGCTACTTAAACTCCTGGCTTCACTGTAGTATTAAACCACACAATTCTCAAGCGGCTTTCATTTATACAGAAGGGCCTCTTCTAGAAAACAGAAAATGGCATCTTCTTTAAATAGCTCACCATGCAATCTTGAACTTCCTTATTCCTAGTTTCCCCCCTAGAGACAGATGTTTGAAAATAAATACAGGCTGAGGTCATAAACAGGGGGTAGGAAGAAAATGAGAACAGACTAAGGCAAGAAACTAATCTATCAGCCAGAAACATGATAAAAGACTGAACCTCTTCTTATCTCTGGTCCCAGTGATGCTCTGTATAAAAAGGCTTTAAAAAGTTACCAGTGTACACTATTAAAATAAAATACAGCACACAAGGTTTATTTGGCTAATCGCATTAAAATCTCAGTCCAGTGGACAAAGCCTGATCTATCGACTTGATATTAAACAACAAGCAAGATACCTTGTCTACACTTTTTCCTTGTCTACAGAATGAAAATTTGCACCCGGTGCCTTTAGATCACCATGAACTCAGTATATTTTTTTAATACTTCATACGGAGATTTTCCAAGTTGTACTACAGGCCTTCTCTGAACATTTGAGTCCCAAGACAAATTCGAAGCCATTACATTTCATCTTCTCCTGTAACCCATTGCCCCAAGTTCTATGATAGCAGATTATGGCTTCATCTTTGATCCATGATAAAGAAGCTGCTTGAGACTTTGTCTGAAACAGAAGCTTCAGAGTCCCCACCCCACCCTTTTGGAACCCTAGCTGGAGGAGAGTTAAACTTGCTTCCCCACTCCCATGGGACTGTGGTTTACATAACTAAAAAGAACAACTGCATTCAAATATCTAATTTGACCCACACCATGCCGGAGTGAAAGGAAGGTATAGCGGGAGGGGGGTATTCACGCAGCATTTTCCTTCTTCAGTGTTCAGCATAAAGGTAAAGGTAAAGGGACCCCTGACCATTAGGTCCAGTCGTGGCCGACTCTAGGGTTGCAGTGCTCATCTCGCTTTATTGGCCGAGGTCATGTGGCCAGCTTCCGGGTCATGTGGCCAGCATGACCAAGCTGCTTCTGGCGAACCAGAGCAGCGCACGGAAACACCGTTTACCTTCCCGCTGGAGAAGTACCGATTTATCTACTTGCACTTTTGACGTGCTTTTGAACTGCTAGGTGGGCAGGAGCAGGGACTGAGCAACGGGAGTTCACCCCGTCGCGGGGATTCGAACCGCCAACCGTCTGATCGGCAAGTCCTAGGCTCTGTGGTTAAACCCACAGCGCCACCCACAGTGAAGTAAAACAGCGCTCCCCACCCCTGCGTCTTCTTGTTTGTGCCCAAGGTTTCAAAGAACAGGAGGCAGTCAATGGCAACCACAAATAATGGCTGGTTATCAGCCAATCCAAAATCTGCAGACCTAATATTTGTCCACTTGCGTTTGAGTTTCAAAGCCATACTTGTTAACATTTCAGCATTCTCTGGTTTTCTTTATAGTATTTTTCTACTAGTTGAAAATGAGTAAATGCTATAGACCTCCGTAACTGATTTTAAAATTAACACCCCTTGCTGAAGAACCCAACTATTTTTACACCCACACCCATGTGCCATCTTCTGCTGTTCAATTGTCCTGTTCAGGAATCAGCATCTTAATACTGTCCCCCCATTTTGTGATAAATGGCTCCAATCATAGTAACAGTGACTTTGGATTGTAGCCAATGAACTCAACCCATTAGTGTAAGGATTTCTGCTTGCACAACAGGCGCTTCCCCTTCCTCTCCCCTTCCAAATCTGTTCTGGGATTCCCCCAATCTGCCAGAGCAGATTGAGAGGGGCATGTGGGAATCCAGTCCAGGGCAACACCCAGCCCAGCTTTCTATGATCCTGTTTAACACATTTATATCCCTCCTTTCCTCACAAACCCCCTCAAAGCAGACGGTCTTCCTGTTACACAATTAAGATTGCTACTCAAGGTTGAAAGTCTAGTGTTACACCCTTCAATTTTCCTCTTTCCTGTACAATCAGTAAAAACCTCAGTTATCCTTGCGTGTACCATTTAAATTATTGCCCCCCTCCCTATCCTTGCAGCTTTCAAATACAGGCAACTTGTATGTCTTGCAAGAGACAGTTCATTTCTTTGTATAACTTTCATTATTCAGAGAAACACTAATTAAATTCATGTGGAAAGAAACGTGCAGTGATGCAGGAGTTCAATCACAAAGATGAAGTAAGACCTAGCAGCTTTCCCCCCAAATGAGCTTCAATCCATCAAAGCAATTACTCAAACTACTGCAGCATTTGTACACTCGAGAAAGCCACTTGCCCTGCTTTACTGCTCAAGCTGTTCTGTGGCATACACAAGTTAGTGCAGGTGGGCAAACCCTTTTGTTCTTAGATGACATTGATGCATAGCCATAAACATAAGCTGGCACAAAATGCTCCATAATTCTAAACTGTTTGAATCATGATTATTTAGTCTGTAAAGATGCACCAGCAATTTAATAAGAACAACACCCTCAGCAGACATTTTTCGGGGTGTGCTGAGGGCTGCACCTATAAAGTGGGTGGGAAATTCCACTTGTTCAAATGTTCTTTCACAGGCACTGTTAGATATACAGTACACCATGATTATCAGTAACTAGAAGTAAAACCGTAAGAAGAGCCTGCTGGATCCTGTTCTCAGGGTGACCAACCAAATACCTATGGGAAGCGTGATAGCCAGTGTGGTGTAGTGGTTGAGAGCGGTAGTCTCATAATCTGGTGAACTGGGTTCGATTCCCTGCTCCTCCACATGCAGCTGCTGGGTGACCTTGGGCCAGTCACACTTCTCTGAAGTCTCTCAGCCTCACTCATCTCACAGAGTATTTGTTGTGGGGAAGGAAGGGGAAGGAGATTGTTAGCCGCTTTGAGACTCCTTAGGGTAGTGATAAAGCGGGATATCAAATCCAAATCCAAACTCCTCCTCCCGTGGTTACCATCAGCTGCCATTCAGAAGCATGCTACTTCAGATAGTGAAGATTGTAGCCCAGGCATCCCCAAACTTGGCCCTCCAGATGTTTTTCTGACGACATTTCCCGTCATCCCTGACCACTGGTCCTGTTAGCTACAGATGATGGGAGTTGTAGTCAAAAAACATCTGGAGGGCCAAGTTTGGGGATGCCTGTCATAGCCATCAGGGTTAGTAGCCATCGATAGCCTTATCCTACATTAATTTGTCTAATCCCATTTGAAAGCCATTCAATGATTCAATTCAGGGGATAACGTTTTTGGCTCAGTGGGCCAGATCTTTATCCACCCCACCTGAGTGAGCCAGCCTTGGCAGGTGGGAAGGACCATCTCCTGTCAGCTGATTGACAGGGGGTTGGTCCTTCCAGGAGGGGCCAACAAAACTCTCTGCATATCAGCTGACGTACAAGGTGTTCAGTTCTGCTTTCTGCAGCCATCTGACCACAGATATCAGATATGGGGCAGGTAGGTGTGGTTTAGGGAATAACTATAGTAACCTCCTGACTAACCTAGGTCCATGGCTGGCTATATGTAGTATCCTCAATCAAAAGAAAGACCTGTTTGAGAGTTTGTCACACATATAAATTTTAGGCACTAAGGCATTTTTGCCATCATTAGAGTTTCTGGCCTTCCCTGGGTAAGTCCTCCTTACACACAGCTCTATTCATACAACGTATTGTGGGAGATATTCTTAGGACGTGCATGATGATGCTTATTTCCCTCCAAATGAAATTAGTCCAGAAACAGGGATAAAATTTACTGTAACAAATAGTCAGCTGTAAAGGGAATGATTATTAATGATTACCAACATATACATTCAGAAAGAGAGACGATGGAAAGTAACCACATTTCTTATTTTGTAGCTTCGAATACAATTTAGACACGTCGTGTCTTGGTCACGTTTCTAGTAGCTATCCAGAGCTCCAGACACTGCACTCAGAAAATCTTAAAATCAAGACCCTGTAATAGCTACTTGTCACATGTGTACCACAGAAATGCTCATTTAATTACACTCCCCAGCTACAATGTCATTGCCATTCCTTCTCATAGGCTACCTCAGGGTACAGGCACACCTTTAAAACAAGACTTCAGAGGAAAGGCTCTAAGCTGTCTGATAAAAATCAGCAAAGCAAATACCAGAGCTATAGCTGTCTTTGCACATGTTCACTTAATATGGTAAGTTAACATCCAAGAATACTTTTTCTCATAGATATAAAAAGGGGCAACCTCTCAGGTATACAGGAGGTACAGCTCTTTAAAAGAACTTTCCCCCAATCAAGCATGGTATATTTCTTACACAATAAAATGAAGTTTGACGGTCTTTGGGTACCATTCATCACATTAATACCACTACAGGTCTTTGCTTTTGGAGGACATAGGTCTAAGATGGTTTTATCTAACAGGCATATTCAGACCAAATATCACATCCATGCCATACATTTGAAGCACATGTCTTCCCCCAAAGAGTCCTGGGAACTGTAGATTATGCCTCACAAAGCTACAACTCCCAGCACCCTTAACAAATCACTAAAGCATGAATCACTGCACCAAGGCTATCCCTGTCCAAGAACAGCTGTAGTCCACATACCAAATGTACCTGAGCCTCAAGTGACAAAGATGGATCCAGGAGAGTTGCCAAACTGCAAACGTATTCTTTCAGACGAAGAACAATGCCATTAAGAACAGAGAAATTGTCGATTTCCGAGGCACAACCACTTACTAACTGTACCTCTGTCTTCCCAGGGTTCAAGCTCAGTTTTTTAGCCCTCATTCATTCCACAACTAGATCCAAACAATGTTCCAGACCACACTCAGCTTCTCCTGACTCAGATGTTATGGATAAATAGAGCTGTGTTGTATTCAGCATACTGAAGATGATTTTCCTCAAAATTCCTAATGACTGCTCCATATAGATGCTAACCAGCACTTGCGACAGGGTTATAACCTGTGGCTCACCACAGCACAGGGACTGTGGGACTGAGATACAGCCTCCCCATGCTTTTCTCTGGACACAGCCCTGCAGATGGATTGGAAACACTGTAAAACTGTGACCCCAGCACCCACCCCACACAGTCACTCCAGGAGAATACCATGGTCAATGCAGCAGACAGACTGAGAAGCAGGACCAGACTCGCATTTCTCCATCCCACTCCACCAGGGCAATGAAGGCTGATTCTGCCCCCAAACCACACTTGAATCCAGATTGAAATGGACCTGAATCGTCCACATCCTGCAGGAATTCCTGAAACTACTTAGCCATCATACTCCCCACCACATTGTCCAAGAAACAGGTGTACATGACTGGGTGGTAGTTTTCGTAAACTGCAAGGTCTAGGGGTGGGCTTTTCAGGAGTGGACACACTACTGCTTATTTAAGAACAGCATGGATCATTCCATCACATAGAGACATGTTCAAAACACCCTCCCTCCCTGCATTTGGCTTTTACTAGCCAGGATGGATAGGGTCAAGAGAGCAAAAAGCTGTTTGCATCATTGCTTTTTATTTTTGTAGTAATTAAACACACACATTTCCTAAGCAAGCCTTGATTTCATCACCCCCACCAACAGAAAATGCAAGGGGTGTGTGTATGAACACTTAACAATACTAGGGTGGTAGGACCTAGCAAGAACCAAAACATTTCAATGTGTCCCTAAGCAACAGACTTTAACATTGCACAAGCTAAGTAGGATAACCTGGACTGCAGAGGAGGCCTTAGAAAAGAACTGACAGAAACCAATGAAGCTAGTTAGAAATCCGGAGGAAGAATCTGTGTTGCTACTCCTGCCTGCTGAGACTACAAGAGCTGTTCACCAGATCATCTCTTTACAGAGACATGCTGAAACACGAGAGTTAGAACAAGAAGTTCAAGTTTCGCTAATCTTCTATGGTGAAAGGAGAGCAACACTGATTTAAAAATTTGAAATAATCAAGGTGTTTAACCATAGAATTGTCTGCACCTGCTATCACCTCTGACATAAAATGCCAAGATATAGATGGCTGCACAGCATCTGTGCTCTAATACAGCTAACAAAGCCTGAACTGGTAAAATAGTGTATCAATCAATGCTAGCTAACTCTCTCTCTCTCTCTCTCTCTCTCTCTCTCTCTCTACACACACACACACACACACACACACACACACACACACACACACACACACACACACACACACTCACACTCTATATATATATATATATTAACAGAAAAAGAGGACGGTATCTGCAGCAGCAAGGTTGCTAATCTGTAGCTTACCTTTAAGGCTTCTATGACAAGATCTCTTGCTTCTAGTTCCCCTTCAAGAATGCTAAACAGAGTCAGTAGTTCAGGTTTGCTGAGTTTTTCCAGATTCATCTTGAACACCTGGAAAGAGAAAGTTTAATTAGATATTGTTTTTGAACAGACAGCAAGCAATAAGGTACATATGACATGCAAGTCTAACGTTTCCAGATGAGAAGCCCCATTACCAAAAGCTCACCACTCCTTTCTTTATGGCCACCATAGCTACTTGCAAATGAACAATCATTCACCTTTTCCCTTGGGCTCACTAACAGATGCACACCCAGATGGCCTGGGAACAGCACAAGCGCTAATATAGCAGCATTAGTCACCAAGTAACAACCACTTTAACCAGGATAATTAATATGAGTGTTCATTATAGATATAGAGATAGGTAGATAGATATGTACAGTGGACTAGCGACATAATTAGACGTTTAGACTAGATGGCTAACTATCCTGTTGACAACAATTATGTATTCCTAAAATCTGAAATATTAAAATGGATGTTTGAAAAATAATCACTACGTGATACAATCGGCTTGCATAGAGTAGCATGACAGAACCACATATTACACAGCTTACTTTCTGAAGATGTTTTCTGACAACGTTTTATTACTTGCTCATACTGGAATCACTAGAAGTTATCCCACCTTATAAATGTGAAGCCCCAGATATTAGAAGACACTACACTGCAAATCACTTGAAAGCAACATTTCTTACATATTCTGAGTCCTACTCAGCTTATTTCATCAAGTACTATTTTATATTATACATATATTATGGTGAGCATGCATACTGACTTTATTATCTACAGGACACTTTTTCTAAAATGATCGTTTGTGCTTAAGAGACAATTGCACACAAAATGTTCCACCTCAACCAACACTTTGCAAGCTTTTTGTATTCTCCACATAGATCTAAACAAAGACTGCATTCAGGCTTCAGTTTACTCTGCATCCAGAGTGCTCCTACTGCTGGTTTGTGAAGTCATGCACACATCATATTAGCCTCAATCTACACCTATCCTGTAGTTTCTTGAGAAATACTGCATTTTGATGCATTTTACTCTAAAACAGCTTTGATCAGATTTGAAAATGTAAGCCATTTGAAGACATCCTCAACCCATCTCCATTCACTGGTGTGGAAAAACAGTAGGCAACTTGGAAACACATCCAACTATACTGATATGTACAACATGCAAATGCAGTTTCAAATGCAGCAGAAAAAACGACCTCACTGCATTTTAAGCTGGTAGTGTACACATAGCCAAAGATTCACTCAAGATTTGTTTAAGGTACTGGTTTTCAACCAGAGTGCCGTGGCACCCTGGGGTGCCTTGAATGATGGTCAGGGGTGTTGTGGGCAACACTGGCCTCTGTCCCTCTTTCCCTCCCCTCTGATGCCCTCTCCCATCTCTGCCTCCCAAAGGCTTGCACAGCTGTTTGTTGCAGCAGCCCTGGCTACAAGCTCCACAGCTGAATGGTGCCTCTGGGGCTGGCCAGGGGGTGCTTCCCAGGCCCCTGTGGGGCAGTGTGAGGAGGTACCTCTCTTAGGGGTAGGGGGGCAGCTCAGAGACCAGGGGCGGCAGCTGTACCTGCCCATAGGACTCCCAAGGAAAGGGGAGAAGGCTAAGGGAACACTCCACAAGGGTGTTCAAAAAGGGTGACACAACTGGGCTCCTGAGCCCCACGGGGTGCCGCAGAAAGAATGGAGTCATGGACTCAAAAAGGTTGAAAACCTTTGATTTAAGGCATGACAGTTGTCGATGGAAAATGTATGAATGTGCTGCTGAGCATGTCGTGAGAAATTAAGAGTTCTACTGAAATCCCACAGCATTTAATTGGATTACTCCCATTCAGGATAAAACATCCAAGTTATTCGGTAGAACAGAGAAAAAACACGGCTGGTCTCATTTCTCCAAATGAAAGCACAACTATGCCTCTTTTTATGGGTTGTGTCCAATACTATCCCTACTCAAAGTAGACCCATTGAAACCATCTAAACCAACTTTGTTCAATTAATTCCTCCTGAGTAGGACTTAGCCAGATACAACTCTATGGTATTGCAGCTGTTTAAAATCCAGTGCAAGTGTTCGTTACAGCAATCATCATACGACATAAACTCAGTGCTGCAGATAAACAAATCGACTGTCTGGGGGAAGTTTAAACAGTTTGGAAAACTCATAAATGCCTGCTTTCATGATTTCCTACAAGACCAGACATCCAAATTGGGTTCGACACAACAAAGGAGGTGGCACATTTCTCTTGAAGTAACAGCCACATTTTCCCCCTTTCTGAAAACCTTCCCTGAAGCACACATTTAAGCGGTTACTATAACATCCTGGCAACTTTAACTGGCACTTCAGCAAGGTCACTGCTACATAAAGCAAACTATGATGGAGTCAGAGGCTAGACCATAATTTACTTAAAAACAAACAATTCCTAACAGCTGTACTGCTGCAGACTGAAAGTACACCTTTGTCCTGAGTTTTTAAATCTAGAGTTTGATGAGCCCATATAGTTTTCACAAGAGGATATGACCTTTAAAAGAAATAGTACCGCTACAGAAAAGTAGAGAGATCAGTGGAAAACAGTTAGTAACGAAAGTCCAAAATGTTTTGCTCACAAGCCGCAACCTGATGCCTACGTATTCCACTAATTTTAAAATACAAAGTGAAAGTCTGTCAGATATTTTCAACTTGGGAATGCTGTAAGATAAAGCTGCTTCTTGAGCTTAGGAGTTCTTCTAGGCAACTATTTTTAGCTGCCTTTTGGGTTCATAGATTGTATAATCTGGTCTTATACTGTCTTTGAATCACTTTATTATTTGCACTGTTACAAAACCTGAAGGTGGCCTGGAGGGGTGGGGGGGATATTCCTTGCCAAAACACAAACCACACAATTTTCTTACCATACTTTCTTCTGTCATCTCATGGCTAGCTGTTCTGTGCCACCCTCAGATCTCAAAATTTCATCAAGAAAGGCACATACAGTGAAGCAGCACAGTTATTATGTCAAGATAACAGCTTCCATGTCATTTGCTGGCAAAATGTGAACTATCTCAATAGCCTTCTTTGTGTTAAGCCTAAACAAAACGGACTAAGCCATGACTACAACATAATAATCCAAGAAGTATGGCATTTCTGAATCATCATTATGTTCACAAATAGACCAATAAGTGGGGGAAACTTCACAACGCTACTGAAAGACCAGCTCAACGCAGCAGTTTGTAGTACAGATTTTCCAGAAGTTCTAAGTTTAAAGGCTTTGCCTCAGATGCCTGGTACTATTTCCTCGGAACAAACCACAGCAAACAGAGACAGCACTTTCCTGCAATTATTGGAGATATTTCCTGTCTTTCTAAACTCTTTGATAACACATACCTGTTATTGAAACAAGGCTTCTCTGTGCACAACCTCTTTTAAATTCATCGTATCCAAGTAACAGTGGAGTTTTCAGCACTACACAAAACTCTCTGAAGTGCCAGATGAGATTATGCTGCTATGTTCAAGTAACGTGGAATGTATTACTTTCTTGTGGTATGCATGCAAACATACCAGCATCTACAGAAGCTTATGTTTGTAGTGCTTTGTAAATTTATCTATTTACTTTTGAATTTAAAAAAGGTAAGACTTCCAGGGTGGCACCATCGGTAATGGCGGACTCCCTCTGATCTGGAGGGACCAGCTCCACGGGAAACGGGTCTTTTCCGCTACGGACGGGACCCATTCAAAAGCGCGGCAGGTGAAGCCTGTGACCATGGGACTCGGCAGGCACCTTTAGCGCCCCCCCAACCCACAAAGGAACCCACTAATGGGCTCCGGAGCGAAGAGGGGGAAGTGGCGTGGTGCTGAGAGTCAACTGCTTCTTCCGTGGAGTGAAGCCGCACAGCCGTTGCTGGAGAGCGCTGCCTTTTTCCTGGGACAATTTGGCTTTTAAAACAATCACCCGTGAGTACTTAAATTTCGGACAATTGGACTCTAAATAAGGATTTGTGAGCTGAAAGGAAAATTGGACTTAAAAGTTTATTTTAATTTGGCACTGAAACGGGAAGGTCTAAACAGGAAGTCAGCCTTCCGTTTCTTTGTAGATAGATTAAAGCAAAGACATGGCAAACTAGAGTTCTGAAAAGGATTAACTTTCATTATTTTAAATTGTTGAACCCCCTTCGGAAGCAGGAGAAGAGGGAGGATTTTTTTCGGACTGTTTAAACCTGCAGAAGTGAGTGTAAAGCAAAGTAACTTTCCACCGTCTTGATCCTGGAGCGGGGTGTCAGGACTGACGTTTTTAGAAGCCCATTGACCAGAGACAAACGTTTCTGACAGATAGCTAAAAGAAGAGAAACATAGTGATTCCATTGTTCCCCTTCGCATTTTAAAGGAACAAATATTGACAAAATATCTGAAAAAGGAAACTTTGTTGTTAGATCTGTCTTTAAAAGAAAAGAACAAACAGAAGTTCTTCCCCTAGAGGGAGCCTGTGAAACTGTAACCAATTCTGAATTGGGGAGCTTGCAGCTGTTACAGATTACGATCGTGGGAATAGACTTCTGACCTTGCAGGACAATGTATTCAGAAGCTCTGTTGTGTGCTTTCTGTAAAACAAGTGCCCTACTGGAACAGCTACATGAGAAGACGGATTTTATGACTGATGCGATCAGAAATTTTGGACAGGCAATGGGAAATTATATAGGGCCCACCCAGGAATCAGATCAGGAGTGTGCCCTGACAGAACAGATGAGGGAAGAGGATGTTACTGAATCTTGGGTGCCAGAGATGGAGGGAGTTGTGGCCCAGCAGGAACATGAATTCTTGGATTTGACAAATGAACTTGGGAAAAGCCAGATTTGGAAAGATAAAGTTTGGTTTGGTTTGGAAATGGGGGGTTGGATAGACCCCCCTATGCAGGGAGGTTTGGACTTTTCAAGTCTGGCAATGGGCCGTGAGATGTTTGGGGTTGTGGGGGCTCTTAATCTTGGAGGGACTTTGAAACATGTTGTTAAATACCACATGGAGCTTAGTCTGGACTATGGAAAAGGGGCTGATTTGTCGAGATGGGTCAAAAGCATTGTCAAGCTGGAGTTCCCAAGAGTGAAAGGAGCAGGAGATAAAGGAAAATACAGTTATAAATATGAAGAGGAGCTGCGGAAGGGACATGGAAGGGACTTAAGGGCCTCGGACATAAGATTGCCAGGTTAATGCGCTAGATTGATGAGATAGAAAGGACTGACAAAACCCGGGACCAGGAGGAAGAGACGCTGGATGAAGATTGGATTGTTGTTTTTTTTGTTGTTTTTAATTAGGATTGTTTTATAAAATTGATGAATGTTAGAAAAATGTTGGAACGAAATTATTTGGCTTTAGCAAAAATGTTTAAAGAACTATGTAAGAATATTATGCTTATGAGAAATTGGTAAAAATAAGATTTAAGTTTTAAGCTTTAAGGTTTTTATAGTGATAAGATTAAAATAGATTAAGGTAAAGTAATGACAGAATATTATGAAATATGGAAAGGATTTGCTGCGACAATTAATAACCAGGATACAAAAAAAGGGAGGAGGAGGAGGTCAAAGAAAGAAGGTAATGACAGTTAAGGATTTGAGAATATTGGATTTGTTTTTAAATGTTTGTGGTATATTTTTGTTTTTTGAGCGTGTTGTGCTATTTTTTGATTTTGATTTCTATTAATCTGTATTGTTTGACTGTGGTTTGTTTTTTCTTTGTTTTTTCTCTCTCTTTTTCTTCTTTGTTTTCTTTTGTAATTCTAAAATTTTCAATATGAATTTAAATGAATTTAAAAAAGTTATTCTCATCAAGCTATATTCAAGCTTAAACCTCCACAATCCACATACTTTAGGGCAAATATGCACCATCTTTAAACTTAGCCATTTTTAAATATACAGTGGTACCTCGGGTTACATACGCTTCAGGTTACAGACTCCACTAACCCAGAAATAGTACCTTGGGTTAAGAACTTTGTTTCAGGATGAGAACAGAAATCGCGTGGCGGCAGCGGGAGGCCCCATTAGCTAAAGTGGTGCTTCAGGTTAAGAACAGTTTCAGGTTAAGAATGGACTTCCGGAACGAATTAAGTACGTAACCAGAGGTACCACTGTACTGTGAATTGCAGCCTAAAAAACGGAACCCAGACTATATTTACCATATGTTAGGAGAATTAGAAGAAAATTACACTGAGTTTAATAAGTAAATATACTTGGGATAGCAGCTTAAGAGTGCAATTCTATGCTTGTCTAACTCAGAAGTAGAAACAACAAAGTATTGTGGAACCTGAAAGATTCTCTAGGATATGCTTTCTCTGACTGGTGCCATGAATAGGATGTAGGCATGTTAGGTACCTAACTCGATTCCAAATTTGTTAGCTTAAGCAGCAATGCTATACCCACTTATCTGGGAGTAAATCCCAATCCATTGAACTCAATGGGACTTATTCTGAGTAGATAGGTATGCATTGTTTATCTCAAGCCACACTTCCATTGCCTTCAAAAGTTTTGCACCTCAAAACTTTGCATATAACCTCTTACTCAGCTGAGACAAAAACATCACTTTTCCCACAATTACTATCCTATTATCTCTGTCCCCTACTTATCGATATGCAGACAAATGAGCCAGGGCAGATCTAAAAGCCAAGTATGTATACCAATGCCAAACAAAAACCAATAAATTAGTCTCTCTTTGAATATTATTTTTCTGTGTAAAGGGATATTCTTATTTCTGGCCAAAAGCCACTGAAAACAAAAGCCTTATGCTTTTTTAGAAAGAGGAATCTTATTTAGCAGCAACCATAAAAATATTTGCACATGCAAGAAAAGCTTGCTCAGACTAAGGCTGTATACACATCACTCATTTAAATCAGATTTAAAGTGCATGTGTAGGCTGCATACACATCATACATTTTTGCCCCAAAGAATCCTGGGAACTGTCATTTAAACAGACATCAGCAAACTACACTTCCCAGTAGTAAAACAGTTAAACAAGAGTGGGGAACATTTGGCCCTCCAGAAATACAACCTGCATCCCCAGCAAACCTGGCCAGTGGCCAGGGAGGATGGGAGATTTAGTTAACAATATCTGGAGAGCCAAAGCTTCCTCATGCCTGTGATTAAATCTCAAGATCCTCTATATTTCCAGGCTGTTAATGGAGGATGCAGTTTTTGTATTTCTAGGTTTGCACAAAGAACTCTTTTCTGTCATTCCAGAGTAATTTCCATAACTTTCATTAAAAGGCTGAACTTCAATAAAGTACTTGATCAATATTCTTTGCACAATCAAGTATGCCTGCTCTTTTCTTTATTTTGTCACCAGTACCCTGGCACTCTTTACTCTAGTGTGAATTTCTAGCAGCATTCTGAGAATGACCTAGCAATGGTGCCAAGTGACAAATCTAAGCCAGCACTTTATCCATTAAGCTTAAGACAAGGGCTGCAACATTCTAATACTGTTCATGGATATCACTCATACAGGTAGGCAGCCGTGCTGGTCTGACGCAGTTGAAATATATATTAAAAATTATGGTAAATGTCCAGTAGCACCTTTGAGACCAACAAAGTTTGTTCTTGGTATAAGCCTTCGTGTGCATGCACACTTCTTCAGATACTAGACCAGGCTGTGCAAACTGGAAGTTGCGCCTAAAGATACATAATGAAGGCGCCAGATGAGCCTCCCTGGAGAGACCATTCCACAAACAGGGAGCCACTGCAGAAAAGACCTGTTCTCGTGCTGCCACCCTCCAGACCTCATCTGGAGGAGGCACATGAAAAAGGGCCTCAGATGGTGGTTGCGGGGTCTGAGGCAGTTCATATGGGGAGAGATGGTCCTTGAGGTATTGCGGTCATTTACTTATTATTGCCATTGTCTGTCAAGACAGATGGATGCCAATGACAAAAGAATGAATATTTTTTTATTTATTTCTTAGTTCATGTCATATCCAGTTTATTCCAACTGGGTATCTATCTACCTAATCCAGGAACTGTTAAAAACTTTATTCTGAGATACAAACTAGGCTCTCAACAACTTTCAGCCCCCATCACTGATGACACTCTATGGACTTGCAAATGAGCTGTTGCGATGAGTCACATGGAGCTTTTACCAGCAGTGGAGAAACACTTGTTCAGCTGTCCCCATCCCATTATCCATCTATAATAAAAAATAGAAATGTGGAATGGTTCACATCCCAATACCATGAAACCCACAACTGGATCAGGAACAGGCCGCCTGAACTTCAGGAGCAGAGAGATGTATGTGGCTATTTGTCATCCTTCCGAAGACAGCCATGAGCTCCACTTAAGTGTGTAAAGTTTGCCTCTCATCCCCAATGATGGTGGAGGAAGAAAAACCTATTTATTCACTGTACAAAACTGAAATTTGCAGATTGGGTAGAAACCCTCATTTCCGTCATCTTCCAACTTCCTAAAACACATGGAATAGATTCAGTCTAGAAATGGAAGCAACTTCCTTTGCAAGAAGAACTTCCCCTCACGTAAGGCAACTCATCAGTAGCTTCCATTTACTACAGAGCATGAACAACTGTTTCCTTCTCATTCTCCTCCACACCTCAATCCTCCTTTACATCTTGGTGTTCTCAGGCAGGACGGTTAACAAAAAAATTCAGTCTGACACAACCATGTTTCTAGAAGAGGCAGACAATGTTCCTTTTAGAAATTCCCATCTCAGTCAGTGTGAGGTAAGCCAGCTGGAGACAGCAGCAAAAGAACAAGAAAGCTGGAAAACACATACATACAGAAATGTGCATGCTTATCTAGAGGGGCACTATCTCCTGCATTATGGGATCTCAGGAATGATAATTCCTGGTATAATCCAGATCACGTTTGCTGCCTTAAAAGTTTAGAATGGCCATATTAGACATCTGGTTCCTCTCCATTCCTTCCTTTGAAGTCACTGGCATTTGTGCAGTGCAGCATGTGACCAAAATACAGTGGTACCTCAGGTTACATACGCTTCAGGTTACAGACTCCACTAACCCAGAAATAGTGCTTCAGGTTAAGAACTTTGCTTCAGGATGAGAACAGAAATCGTGCTCTGACGGCGCAGCGGCAGCAGGAGGCCCCATTAGCTAAAGTGGTCTTCAGGTTAAGAACAGTTTCAGGTTAAGTACGGACCTCCGGAACGAATTAAGTACTTAACCTGAGGTACCACTGTAAAGTTAATGTAACATTTCTAGAACTACTTTTCTGTGATAAAGATTAAAAGCACAATAGCCATTTGAGTGTGTGTGACACAACTGTCCTATGCAAAAAAAAGTATATAAATAATATTTGATGACGGCTATCAAAGACCATATCAGTATTTTTATAGTCAAAGGGAAATACATACAAGACTGTTAGTAGTACAGTGGTACCTCGGGTTACATACGCTTCAGGTTACATACTCTGCTAACCCAGAAATAGTACCTCAGGTTAAGAACTTTGCTTCAGGATGAGAACAGAAATTGTGCAGCGGTACTTAACCTGAGGTACCACTGTACTGTATATTAATTACATCAAGGGTGGCCAGCAATTTGCACTACTGATGTACTGTATAGGCCATGCTCCAGGGATTAGTGATAGTTGTAGCTCGAAACATCTAAAGGGTACCACATTGGCTTATTCCTGAATTACAGGTTTTAAAATCAGAATCCTGATCCTGGTTTCCTGGCAATCCAAATTAATTTACTTCAAGTAGTAAGCATTAGAAATATTTCAGGATGTTACATTAACATCTTAATTCATGGAAAAGCTAGAACCCACAACTAATTTTCTTTACATTTGGTGTGTTTGCTTCATTCCTTGTCTATAAGTCTTCCAAGACCAGATGCCTCCAGTAACCACAGAGTAAACATTATAGCAACTTCTGACCTACGTTGTCAGTGCTACTATAACCGCTAAGCACGCCTTCAGCAAACACAGAAATTCAGTATAGATGCAACAACAAAAACTTCCTACTAAGTTCCAAAGAAGCAGCGATACTTGCAAAGCAAAGTTAGTTACAGCAAGAGGAAATCTTGAGAAAACTGATCATAACTTACCGGTAAGACTTAATTTGAAATGACTGGGAAACAATTTTTAATTACTAGAAATAGTACTGTCATTACTTAGGTAATCTTTAAAAAATGAACAGGAAGAAATCCTTTATGCTACCCACTAAAATATTATTTTCATGTTTGATATCTAATATTTTTAAGAAACTCTCTTTCACTAGCTATCAGCATATCAGTCACACATATTTATTATGTAAACACAGAGCAATAATCATGGTTTTGGCATTTTGCAACAGTGTGTTACTGTTTGCATGTCACACAATGCAGGTGACAAGTTAAGAACAGTATAATATTAACTGAGAGAGCATCAAAACAAAGCAACTGACAGCATCCCTCACCGGGTCATGAAGGACGTTTGACGTGTAGTGCATAAGGTTCAGTAGCCTAAAACAGTCAGTTTAAATAATGCCCAAATTATAGTTAGCCACTTGTTTTTCCAACAATCACAGCACCAGCACTTTTCACCATTCACTGCTCCCTTCATTGCTATGATACCAACGTCTCAATTTATCACCTATGACAACCTAAATATACTTTCTTCCATGCTTTAGAAACTTGCTCAGGTGTAGAATAAACTGAACCACTGCTCTAACCACTACACTTCTAAAATGCAATAGATAACATCCAATGCCTGGAAGCAGAAAGAGGTCTTAGACTGGCACCCAAAAGATGACACATTGCATTGATAGCTTACCTCCCCACCCCACTGCCAAGGAGCCCAAGGTGGAATGTGTTTACTTCTCTTCCCCAACTCCTTGATTAATTCCCACCAATGCCCCTGTGAAGTGGGTTAAGCCGAGATGCAGAGAATGGCCGAAAGTCATCCAGTGAGAGTTCTGGGATTTGAACCCAGGTCTCTCCCAGGTCCTAGTAGCCTGACACTCTAACCACTACTCCACCACTGGCTCCCCAATACCCTAAAGTAGCCTTTCCCAACCTTGGGTCCCCAGATGTTACTGGAGTACAACTCCCAACATCCTTGGCCACTGGTCCTGCTAGCCATGGCCTTTGAAATGTGTTTGTGGGGGTTGCTTCTGTTTTTAAATAAATAACATAAAAATAAAAACCATCCTAAAGCTCCACACACCGAGCTCCAACTCCTGGAGCCTCTAAAGTCTAAACACTGCCCTCCTTCCTCCCAGCCCTCTCCTTCCTGGGACGCTTTAAGCAGGTGTTGGACAGCCATTATTACTTATTAAATTGGTATACCACCCTTCATCTGAATATCGTGGGGCATAAAAACACAAGATGCAAACACAGAAACAAGAAGAAAAAAACCACCCACCCCTCCCCCAATCCGACATCTGCCAGGGGCTAAATTTAGCCGCCACTCCTGCTCCACAGGAGGAGTTGGAGATGGCGTTTACAAGTGGTCCATGTTTCACAAGCATACAGTAAGGTTAGTAGTACAATAGCTTTGCAAACAAGCATTTTGGTTTCCCTGCGAATGTCCCGGTCCTCAAAAACTCTGCACTTCAATCAGGAGAAAGCTGCGCTTGCAGAGCTCAGGCGATGCTGGATTTCGGCATCAAGGCTGGCCCTCGTGGAAAGATAACTGCCCCGGTAGGAGAAGCGATGGGCATTTTCCAACATTGCACCACTGAGTTGGATTTGTGGCGCTGCAGAGAGGTTATTTTGTACTTGTTGGTGCAGCACATTGGTTTTTTTTGGACATTGAGGAAGGCACGCTTGGCAAACCCTCACCGTGATCAACTCCCGCCCTGAAACCTATGTACCCACCATGGAAGGACGTGTGGATCCAGAACTGGCCTCTGCAGTCCCTTACGGACTCACTGTTAAGACTGTGTTCATGGGAGACAATCTTACTTGGCTACGAGTGATAGCCAAAGAAGAAGTGATCCTCACCGCACAGTCCATGCTAGAACTGCAGAGCTGGACAGGGCGCCGAGAATCATTCTAGCCCAGTGATGGCCAAACTTGGCCCTCCAACTGTTTTGGGACTACAACTCCAATAATTATAATAGTATATCGTTGTTGTTGTTGTTATTATTAGGTAAAGGTAAAGGGACCCCTGACCATTAGGTCCAGTTGTGACCGACTCTGGGGTTGGGGCGCTCATCTCGCTTTACTGGCCGAGGGAGCCGGTGTACAACTTCCGGGTCATGTGGCCAGCCTGACTAAGCCGCTTCTGGCGAACCAGAGCAGCGCACGGAAACGTCGTTTACCTTCCCGCCGGAGCGGTACCTATTTATCTACTTGCACTTTGATGTGCTTTCGAACTGCTAGGTTGGCAGGAGCAGGGACCGAGCAATGGGAGCTCACCCCGTTGCGGGGATTCGAACAGCCAACCTTCTGATCGGCAAGTCCTAGGCTCTGTGGTTGAACGCACAGCGCCACCCGTGTCCCATTATTAATATTACTAGTACTATTATTATTATTTATACTCTGCCCATCTGGCTGGGTTTCCCCAGCCACTCTGCGCAGCTTCCAACAAAGTACAGTGGTACCTTGGGTTAAGTACTTAATTCGTTCCGGAGCTCCGTTCTCAACCTGAAACTGTTCTTAACCTGAAGCACCACTTTAGCTAATGGGGTCTCCTGCTGCTGCCGGAGCACGATTTCTGTTCTCATCCTGAAGCAAAGTTCTTAACCTGAAGTATTATTTCTGGGTGTGTAACCTGAAGTGTCTGTAACCCGAGGTATACCACTGTATTAAAATACAGTGGTCTGTTAAACATTCAAAGCTTCCCTAAACAGGGCTGCCTTCAGATGCTAACAGGACCAGTGGTCAGGGATGATGGGAGCTGTAGTCCCAAAACAGCTGGAGGGCCAAGTTTGGGGGTGGCTGCCATAGAGGACCCGGCATGATCTGGACCAGGCATAGGCAAACTCGGCCCTCCAGGTGTTTTCGGACTACAACTCCCATCATCCCTTGCTAACAGGACCAGTGGTCAGGGATGATGGGAGCTGTAGTCCCAAAACAGCTGGAGGGCCAAGTTTGGGGATGCCTGCCATAGAGGACCCGGCATGATCTGGACCAGGCATAGGCAAACTCGGCCCTCCAGCTCTTTTCGGACTACAACTCCCATCATCCCTTGCTAACAGGACCAGTGGTCAGGGATGATGGGAGCTGTAGTCCCAAAACAGCTGGAGGGCCGAGTTTGGCCATCACTGGGCTAGCCCAACCCCCCCCCCGCAATGGAGTTTGGGGGGGCTCGAACCCGCGACCCTGAGATTGAGGGCCCTGCTTCTTCCCTCAGAGTCCCGCCGGCCAACCAGCCCCAGGACCGAACCCCCCCCCCGGGGGCCGCCCTCCGCCGCCGGCTCCCCTGAAATCCCCTCACAGCCGGAGCGGCCGCCTCGGGCTCCGTGCCCCTTCCTCCTCCTCACAAAGCAGGAGCCGGACCCCTCTCGGCCGGGACAATGGCGGGACCCCCTGCTCCCCCCTCGCCGGTGGCGGGCCTCCCCCTCACGGACGCGCCTTCCCCTCCCGCCCCGGGGGCCCCGGCGACGCCCCGCTCCTCGCCGCCCACCTCTCCGGCGGCCCCCTCAGCTCGCCGCCTCGGCCCGGGCCGCCCTCCGCCGCCGCCTCAGCCGCCGGTCTGTCCCCGCTCGGCCCCACTCGCCATCCCTCCAGCCTCCTCAGGCGGACCAGGGATTGGCGCGCCCCGCCGCCAACCGCAGCCCCGGCCGGCGAGGGAGCTAGGCCAATCGGCTGGCGGGAGGGCGGGGCGGAGGGCGGGAGCGGAGCGGGGCGGAGGGGCCGCCTGGCCAATCAGAGGCCGCAGGAGGCGGGGCAAGAGAGGAGGGAGGGCGGGGCCAGGGCGCGCTTGAAAATCCCTTTTGTTCGCGGCCCGGGGGAGGCGGAGGCGGGAGGGAAGCTGCGGCGGAAACGTCACTTCCGGTGAAAAGGGATGGTACTTAAAGGGTGGGATTAAGCTTCTGCCTCTCCCCCAAAATATAAGACGTTTTTCCAGGCTGGAAGAATATATTTCATAGAATTCTGAAATTATTTTATTATTATTTTAATTAAATATTTTGTATTAGTTTTCCATTTATTCATATACAATCACATCATTTTTATCCACTTTATCTCTTTGGCTCTTTAGAGCCCCTCGACTCTTCCTTCCCTGCCGCCTCATGGCTTTCAAAATGAACCTTTATATTGTTGCATTTTGTACGTTTTCCAATTCTAATTGAACCTATTACAGAATACCTCAACATTTGAATAAATATAGAAAGGGAGAAAAATTCTCATTACAAGCCTTCAGAGAACCTTGTTGTTGTTGTTAAGTCCATAAATTACCACAGAGCATATGTTCAACACAAAAAACAGCGGCAATTTGTTGTTGGCAAATGACAGCTGGACTTAATATGTTGTTGTTTAGTCGTTTAGTTGTGTCCGACTCTTTGTGACCCCCTGGACCAGAGCACGCCAGGCACTCCTGTCTTCCACTGCCTCCCGCAGTTTGGTCAAACTCATGCTGGCAGCTTCAAGAACACTGTCCCACCATCTCGTCCTCTGTCGTCCCCTTCTTGTGCCCTCCATCTTTCCCAACATCAGGGTCTTTTCCAGGGAGTCTTCTCTTCTCATGAGGTGGCCAAAGTCTTGGAGCCTCAGCTTCACGATCAGTCCTTCCATTGAGCACTCAGGGCTGATTTCCTTCAGAATGGATTGGTTTGATCTTCTTGCAGTCCACGGGACTCTCAAGAGTCTCCTTCAGCACCAGACAACCCTGCTAGTGATGTCAATTGCTTACAATGATCTTTCAAATATCGTAGAAATTTACTCCAGTCCTTTTGGAATACTTGATCATGCTGGTTTCGGATTTTTCCTGCCAGCTTCGCCAATTCTGCAAAGTCCATCGTTTTTATCTGCCACTCTTCTTTTGTTGGTGCTAGAATTGTGGAATTAGAAGGGGACACAAAAGGATCAAATTATCCACAAGTTTAACATGAGCCAATGGTGTGATGCAGCAGCAAAAAACCCCGAATGCTATTCTAGGCTGCATCAACAGAAGCGTCGTGTGCAGATCAAGGGAATTCAGACCACAGCTGGAGCTCCGTGTCCAGTTCTGGGCACCACAATTTGCAAAGGTGACAAGCCGGAAGGTGTGCAGAGAAGGGCAACCAAGGTGGTCAAGGGTCTGGAAGCTGAGCCTTATGGGAAACGGTTGAGGGAATTGGGCCTGTTTAGCCTGGAAAAGAGGAGACAAGTGGCAAGAAAATTCTTATTAAACACCAGGAAGAACTTTCTGACGGAAAGAGCTGTTTAACCGTGGAACGGACTCCCACCAGTTTTTAAGCTAAGGTTGGATGGCCATCTGTCATGGATGCTTTAGTTGAGATTCCATATTCAATAAACACATGAGACATAACCGGCTGTGTTCTTAGATAAATAAGGTATTCTATTCATGTATCAAATCATAAATTTCAACAGAAGCAACTCATAAACTTCGACAAGCTAACAAAGCAGAAGACCCAGTGGATCAGATCATTCTCTAATCAGTTCATGTATAAGGTCCATCCATGTAACAGATGAAGCCCAGGATGGCGAAACAAGGCCAATATTCTGGAAATTAGACTGTGAAAGGATTCTGTGGAACTGTAACAACCTTTCATGTGGATTGTTTGGACCTTATGAACAGACAGGTGGAATAGACACTATTATACAGATGGACCTTATGCATAAACTGATTAGAGAATGATCTGATCCACTGGGTCTTCAGCTTTGTTCGTTTGTTGAACTTTATGAGTTACTTCCGTTGACATTTATGATTTGATACATGAATAGTATACCTTATTTATCTAAGAACACAGCCAGTTACGTCTCGCGTGTTTATTGAGTATGCTTTACGTGACCATAGGTTTGTTTGTTTGTTGTTTTGTTAGTTGAGATCCCTGCATTGCAGGAGGCTGGACTAGATGACTCTAAGGGTCCCTTCCAACTCTACAGTTCTATGAGCTATGCAGTGCAGGAATAACAGCTGACTTTACAGGACATGAATGGGCTGCAATACTCAGGCAACGTATTGCAGATGGTGAACCACAATGCGATCTACCGTATTTTTCGCTCTATAACACGCACCCGACCATAACACGCACATAGTTTTTAGAGGACGAAAACAAGAAAAAAAATATTCTAAACGAGACAGTGGATGTATAATTTTTGTGGTTCATGCTGTGGCCACAGACATGTGATCTGACGGTGAGTTTGGGGTAGCCAATGCAAAAATCCTGAGGATCCATGTGGATCCATGCTTTGTACCCACGTTTTTGCACCACTGCGGCCCCAGGCAACAGTGGGTGCGTGATTTTTTTGGTGCAAGCTGTAGCCATGGACATGCTATGTGATCTGATGGTGAATTTGGGGTGACCCAGTGCAAAAATTCTGAGGATCCATGTGGATCCGTGCTTTGTAACCAGGCTCTCTGTCCCTCTCTTCGCCCCACTAAGCGGCTCTTCTCCCGCTTTGCTGTTTCAAAGCGAGCCACGGAGGAGGGAAGGAAGGGGAACCATGGATCCTCTGCTCACGACTACAGCAGATCCCCCCGCCATCCGTAGGTATTCGCTCCATAACACGCACAGATATTTCCCCTTACTTTCTAGGAGGAAAAAAGTGAGTGTTATGGAGCAAAAAATACGGTAAGTTCAGCCGTACGAATCAGTGAACCATCCTTACCTGCCTTCTGTTCAAAAACACAGCAGAGCCGTTACTCTCACCAAGTTACTGTAGCCTTATGAGGCTTTGCCCTTGGGTGGGAAAAATATTGCGCCCGGGAAAGGGAGTAGGAGTCAACAGACACTCAAGCAATAGTTTCGGAGGAAAAGCTTTATTTCTTCCATCCATTAACTGGTAGAAGGAGCAAGTGTGATAGCTCACAAACAAGCACAGGTTCACAGTCATTTGCACAGAGCATATATTCCCCTTCCAGTTCCCTCCCCTTTCTCCTCCCTCAGGAGTCCTGCCCCATGTTGAGGTTCCTGAGCATGTACAGAAAGCTCCTGTCTTGGGACTCTTCCCAGGAAAGGGGGGGGTGAGAAGCCAAGGGGTTTCAGAGTGTTCAAGATATGTTTCTTTCTCTTGCTCTATTGGCACAGTTCCCAGGAAAAGAAAAGTTGCAATCTGGTTAACAAGGCCAACTAGCCTGAGAAATGAAAAAAAGCATTGTTCTATTCAGCTACCTTTGTTACAGCAGAGTGAAATGCTTCTGATGCTTAGCTAATGCCTTTTAGCTGCTGAGAAAATGATTTTGAAAAGCTTAAAGCAGCTTTGAGCCTGCTTTGTGGGGGGTGACTTCGGGCCTAGGTGGGGGTCACCTGTCCTCACCTCCTTCATTACCCTTCTTAACAGCCTTCTCAACAAACTACAGTGCCCAGAATTCTTTGAGGGAAGTAATGCGCTTCAAATGTGCTTTAAAGATGTGTATAGTATATACACAGCATTTGTGAGGCATGTAGTTAAGGAGCAAAACCTGAATATGGGATATAAAAAAATAGATGTTTCCCCTTCCCATGTTATCTTCTAAAGCAAACCTCATGGTCTTCCCACAGCGCTTGGTTTTTATTTATCGTTCCATGTCAGTACAATTCAAAAGCATAGGGAACAATGGAAGACAGATTTCCTGAAAGTACCAGATGTTCATTAGGCATGTGTCAGCCCATTCACTGTGTTCCTTTTGATTAATTAAGATGAATGTGAAGGATGATTTTCAATGAATTCTATGAATGCGTAAGCGCCCGTTTTGCACACAGAAGTAGGGTTTCGTGTGTTAAAAGTCGATCCAGGAGAAAGAGGAGCAATGTAAAAAGTGGCAGCTGGAAACGTTTTGACTTGGCAGAGCGGCAATTTGTAACATTCTGTTTTCCTCACAGCAGCACCTGCACAGCACTTATTCGGGATAGTATGTCATGTGCAGAGTGGTGGTGTCTCCTCACTTTAAAAAATCCATTATTCCTTGCCCATCTATTAGCTTCCATGTAAGAGGGCCCAAATATGATATCCAGACAAAATTGTCTCCATATCTCATTTAGAAATTAAGGCATACCATATGGCACGAGGTTTTGAAAGAATCTATAGATGACACCTACACATCCATATTGCCAAGAAATCCTAAACACACCACAACTTTAGAAAACTGAGGAACACTGGCTTCCACTTGCATGTATATTTCCTCCTCCTCCCAAAAATAGATCTAACTTTTCATTTTCCAAAACATTTTCTAAATTAAAAAAACAAAGTATTCCAACTAATATACAAAAAAATTTTTTTTTATTTGAGCCGGGACACAACAGAACGTATTTGCAATGCATGGCTCAGTCCTGAAGATGTGGAGTAATAATCTCTGCTCACTTGAAAGTACCGTATATTTTTGCTCTATAAGACTCACTTTTTCCCTCCTAAAAAGTAAGGGGGAATGTGTGTGCGTCTTATGGAGCGAATGCAGGCTGCGCAGCTATCCCAGAAGCCAGAACAGCAAGAGGGATTGCTGCTTTCACTGCACAACGATCCCTCTTGCTGTTCTGGCTTCTGAGATTCAGAATATTTTTTTTCTTGTTTTCCTCCTCCAAAAACTAGGTGCGTCTTGTGGTCTGGTGCGTCTTATAGAGCGAAAAATACGGTACATTCCACTAGAGTAATCATAATCAGCTT